GAAGGGCTCCGCGCTGGGGAGCGCCCGCGCCGGGCTCCCGGGAAGGGCTTCCCGCGGGCGGAGCGGCGCGCTGGAGGACACCTGGCGGACACAGCTCCGAAGTGCCGCTCTGGCACAGCCCTCCGGCAGCCCCGGGGCGGCTCATCCCCGGCTCCCGAGCCGGAGCTGCGCCGCTGTCCTGCCTGCCAGCCCTCGGCAGCTCCCTGCTTCCCGGCCTCTTCTCAAGCCGCCCCCGCTGAGCTGCGGGGCAGGAGCCGCTTTTGGCTGCGGCAGGGGGGCTGCCGGCAGCCTGGAGCCTTGGCTGCCTTGGCACTGCGGGCACCCTTCTCCTGGAGGGTGCCCCTCATCGACCCCAGCAGCTGAGCTTGAGAGGCAACAGCAGAGGCCGGGAATTGCTGACCTGAGAGCCACCGTCAGCTAAAAGTCATCTGGACAGCTTTGTAGCCTGGTTTAGCAAAACTTCAGTGGTGGCACACGCAGATGTGCAGAACCTCTTCTGCCAAATTCTGATGGGTATGTGCTGAGAAATGATCTTTGCTTCTCCCCCAACATAGCTGAACACAAACGCTGTATGTAAGGTGGATATCAAAAAGTATCTGCCGTGTCAGAGACTGTTTCAAGTTGACTGGTTCAAGGAGGGATTTCTAGAGATTCTGAAAATTTCATTAAAGTCGTTTTAATTAAGGCCAAGATATTTTTAAAATCATGAAAAATCTCAAGCTATCATGCAGTAAAACTGGCAGGGGGTGCTTGTAGCTTGGTTGTGAACTTTTCTTGAGAGGGCAGATGGATGTAAATGAAGATATATAGGGAAAATGAGAAGAACATCTGCCTTTTTCAGCTCTTTATGAGACATGTACAAGCAAGACAAAAATAAAACTGAGCCACTGAGCTTGTTTCAGCATATGGTAGGTGTAAGAAAATTTCTGGAAGTCCCTCTTCTCTCTCTTCAGTCCAGATGCACAGATCAATGGAGCATTTAACTACCTCTGCTGTTGATGTTTTAAATTTTTTTTTCTTTGTAGTGTGCTGAAAACATATGTTAAAATGCAAACTAGTACAAACAGCCACCACATACACCCAACAATCTGTTTCCAGGTGATTCCTTGAATCCATGGCTGTTATTTGGCCCCTTTATTTTGACATTTAACAGGAAATTATGCTAGGTGTTCATTTTTTACTGGGATTTTTAATCTTGACCAGTACACAGGCAAGGATTTCTCTGTCTGCCTCTCATGTAGTGTAAGAAAATGTAGCATGAGAAAATAAGAAGGCTTAGCTAATTTGTGAAATGCTGCCTACATACAGTCCAAGGTTTTTACCACTCTTTGCTGAGAAGGACTGTTAAAAGAAATAGAAAAGCTTACTGAAGTGAGCTATCTGTAGGGTCTGACAAGTGCTAATCTCCTTTGGTAAGGACATCAATTCCTCCTGGGGTACAGACAGCAGTAATTCCAGTTCTCAGTCTTTCTCAACTACTTCTGGTGTTCCTGTCTTGTTCTGAAATCCTGGTGAGCAAAAAGACAAGTGGCAAGATGTCTGAAGGGGATATGTTTAATATATTTTGCCATGAGAGTTTACAATGTATTTGGTTATAATACCAAATTAATGGGCTTTTTACCTTCTTTTTTTCCCCACTATCTGAGCAGCAGGATCAATCTTGAAAAGGCTTGGGGTTTTTGGTTTACAAAATTATTGGTTTTGTAACATTGTTTGGATACATTAAATTTAAAAAGATTGGTGAGAAACAGAGAGACAAAACCAATAACTCAGCAGTGTTTTGCAAAGGGTTACTCCAAGGCACGTTCTTCTGAATAATGATGAATTGCTTCCTGATTTGTGGTCAGTGACTTTTTTTGGTATAATTACTGTCAAGAAGGAAGCTGAACAACCAGAGTACATTTCTTAGACCATAGTGGAGCATTTTCTTCAAAATCCTTACACCTTTTTTTACCAAACACACTTGATATATGTTATCTGATGATAACTGATGATTCATTTTTGTACAAGAAGGTGACCTGTGAGTACATGTCCCAGAGCCATTTCATATTCTGTTTTGTATGCCACTGTATGCTGGTAAGAGAACTGAAGGTGTTTGGTTTTGTTTTGTTTGGTTTGGGTTTTTTGTGTTCTCCTTTTAGCTATCAGGGTGGGTATAGACCAAAGAATGGAAAGGGGTGGAGGGTGGTTTCATTTTGATCTGGAAGAGCAGTCATTCCAGTTCCTAACTTATTAGAAAACCAAGCTCTGTAGCAGTGAAGTGATTGATAGATATTGCATACTTTTGTTTGCTGAAACTAGACTTTTAGGGGCTGCCTTTGATAGGAAAAGTAACTTATGAAGATATTTGACAGTCCCTACATTTTGCTTACTGTTTCTTCCTGTAAATGTATTTCCAAAAAGCACATTTTTAAGGTATTCATCATTAACTTCCATGTTTTAGGAAAATGATATTGAAAATGTTAGTACCTGACAAAACTGTTCGTATTGTAATCAACGTGATTGTTCATTTATTTATTTCTGTTTTGCTGACCTATCACAAAAAAATTCTTGCATTGTTTGCTTTACCTTGTTACATTTTGTGGGGGGACGGGGGAGAAGAGGGAGACTTCTCGTTTTCTCTTGGCAATGGAGTGATCCTGTGGTGCTCTTCTTGTAGGTCACTGGAGTTATAAGCAAAGAGTACATCCCAAAAGGAACACGCTTTGGACCCCTGGTAGGAGAGATCTATACCAGTGATACTGTTCCCAAGAATGCAAACAGAAAATACTTTTGGCGGGTAAGTAGGAAAAAACAGCCCCATGTTGTTGCAGTAAGCAGATCACTAAATGAGTACGGCTGAGAAGCTGGGTCACTTCCTGCTGTGTGATGCGGGGGACAGCCTCTGTATGCAGCCAGGCACAAACAGGGCCAGTGGGTGCATTAAGCTGAGTAAAAGCCTGGCTGTCTTGGATGTAGGGACTGAGTGGGTGGAGAGAGCAGTGGAGATGCACAGCCCTTCCTGGCTCTGTTTTCCAAAATGTATCTCTGCCGATTCTGTAAAGAAATAGTTCTGCTGCTTGCTGTAAGAGCAGGTTATTTTGCATTTCTTCACAGCGGAAAGTCATTCTGATTTATGCAAGTCCTTGATTTTTCCCACCATGAAGAAGCTGTTAAAGTACTGCATAAATGTTCACTCTGGAATTATGATACATCTTCTGACATTTTTTCCTCCGTCTTGTATAGAGCTGCTATAGCACAGTGGTGATAGTCTTCAGGATATATCATTCAATTCATACATTTTTCTAGGTCTCCTCAGATTTGTTAAAAGAGCAGCTCGTGGATCTTAGCAAAGGGAAAAGAGATAAACACCAGAGGTGTTTATTTGTATACCATAGTATAAGCTGGAAGAGAGCAGCAGCCAATATGTTTTGGCTTGGGCAGTCTATGCTGGGGAATATGCTTCCAGTTTATCAGTTGACATAATCCTCATTTTCCTTACAGACACATTCTTAATTGTTAGAGAGCATTCCTTCAGCCCCATCTCATTCCACAGATTTGTTTTGCTGCCTTCTAGCCATGTAGGTTGTGTCTAAATCCGTGGATTTGGGACTGTGTCCAAGCCTCTGTGCTCAGGTGCCTGCCTGCCTTAGTAATATCCCAACCTCATATCCAGGTGAAACCCAGGGCATGCACCAGCATTCCCCACACCCCTTTCTTCCTACCTAATTGAATCATTTTGGTTTTCTCAGATTGTCTTTGTACGATGTAATACAGCATTGCACAGGCAGTTATTTGTGTGAGGTTTTTTTACAGAGCAGGCAACTGTTTTCACATTAATAAGACCACAAATGTTTCTTTTTGCTGAACCTTTTGGAAGCTTGTGTCCAGTCTAGGAGGAGACCAGTCGGCTGACCCTAGCCCCGCCAGTTGTTTGTAAGACAGCAGACACAGGGAAAAGGGGCTGATAACCATCTTGCAGGACTTCATTCCTACATTGCAGCGAGAAAGATGACATCATTCTTATGATGTGATTGTAAGCTTTAATGCAGAGGGATCCTCAGCAATAATATCCTAGGAGCCATCTAAGCATCATTAAATTCCCTGTTATAATCTCTTGATTCGTTCAAGACAGACTGCTGCACTGAAAATTAATTCCTTCCTAGGGGTCTGACACAGGCTCGCATATGCAAAGGAAATTGTGGGAGATAACTTCCCACATGTGATTAAAGGCATCCTGGGCTCGCTGGCAGGAGCGGGAACATCTGCTGGGCGCCCGTGGACGCTGCCCGCGCCAGGGGAGCGGGGCCGCCCGGGCCCGCGTCATTTCTGGGAACCGCGCCGTGACTCAGCACATCTGGGCGCGCCTTCCCCACAATAGGTGGGAGCTGGTGGGTGCCTCTGCCGGGGAGTCGGAGCTGTGGCCCTGACGTGGGAGCGGTGGAGGGCTGGTTTGGGAAGTGGTGGCAGGCGTCAAGCGCCAGAGCCCCGCGTTCCTGGAAGTTTGCGAGCCGGGGTGAACAGAGAAACCCGAAGGCTCCTCTTGATGCAGCACAAGTCGCCCGGCTCCCTTCCATTTTCTCATAACAAACACACCGCAAAATCTCTCGCAAGCTGCTTTGATGAGGCCACATGTATTTCCCCCTTCTCAGTTTACAGGAAGTTACTCTTAAAGAAAGTGATTCTGGTGTTTACGGCCCGCTTTAAAGGGCCCGGCCGCCTCCCCTCTCTGCCCGCCGGGCTCCGGGGAGCGCAGGAGGGTCCGGCCGGCCGGGCCGGGGAGGTGCGAGACACAGTGGTGAGGACGCACGGGCAGGAACACCCTGAGGAGCGTTTTCTCCATGAGATAAGCTCTGTCTCCCCTTTGGAAAAGCATTTCCTGCTCAGCGAGGTGCGTTGCTGGTGCAAGCTGCTCCCACTTCAAGGTCTGGCTTTTGCCTGGTCATCTGTTTTCAGAAAAACAGGAGCCCCATTTCATCCAGCACAGAGCTAGTTCCCCTTGAGCGTGAGCAGTGGGTTTTTACAAGTGTGTTTCCTGGATCGCTTTTGGTTTGATTTGATTTTAATAATTCTCTTATTCTTACCATTTCAAGAAACAATAGCTTCTGTCAGTGATGGGAACTTCTTTCTCCCAAAACCACTGAGCAGTTTTCAGATTCGTGTTTTCTTGCCCCTCTGTGGACAAGTCAGAACATGTCCCTTAGTAGGAAAAGTGACATCTCATGAGCTAATAATCCCTCTCCAGGTCTTCCTTCAGTTATGGCAGGTGAATTTCATCTTTGCCTCACCCAGCCTTCCTACAAAAGGGTTACAGTGCAACTATGAGCAAGTGTTGCTTTAGGACTGTGGGGGGGTGGAGAATGTTTGCATAGTTTAAACCTTTGGGTGGAGGTGGTAGGAAACTGCAAGTACAGAGGCCATAGAAAGAGGCCAGAAGAGAAGAACTCTGACGTAGCACAGCCAGCCAGTCTTATACACAGGTGACTCAAAGCATTAATGCAAGCATGCACTCAGACCTGCAGTCATCAGCATCACCCACTTGTTGATCAGAGCACCAGGAAAAGGACTCTAAGGTAGACTGTTCACACAGAGTACTCTGCATTTCAGATTTTGGGTCTTGTTTTCCCAGGCTAGCAATGACACTGGCTAAGATTAAATGGAAAAGGTGACTGTGGACTTGCTTTTAAATACTTTCTTAACTCAGAGGATGTCACTGTTGGAAAGGCAGGAACACAGCTTGAACTCTTCAAAAAAAAAAAAAAAGGAACTTGGACCTTATCACTTTTCCCCACTGGATTCTGTGCATACATGTTGTGTATTATATATATATATGTGCTCTATCTCTATATATATAATATGTATATATATTAATAAGCACTTCCTCTCTATTCCAGATCTATTCAAGTGGTGAACTTCATCACTTCATTGATGGATTTAATGAGGACAAGAGCAACTGGATGCGTTATGTAAACCCTGGCTACTCTGTTCAGGAGCAGAACTTGGCTGCTTGTCAGAATGGAATGAACATCTACTTCTATACCATCAAGCCCATCCCTGCCAACCAAGAGCTGCTTGTGTGGTATTGCCGAGACTTTGCAGAGAGGCTGCACTATCCCCCCTCCAGAGAGCTGACAATGATGAACCTCAGTAAGTGGATTACAGTATAAACAAGGAATGCTAGTAATGTCTCTTATGCCTATACGATCTAATAATAAGTTGTATAATTACACAGCTGCATCATCTGTTGTGTCACAGGAGGTAGCTTGGAGTGGAAAAGGGGAATTAAAAAACCCGACACAAGAGAATGAGTTCCCTGTGCCTGTTCAAATGTAAAGAGATTCTAAAATCCGAGCAGTTGCTTGTTTACAGTTTGAATCTTATCTGGTGAAATTCTGGACAGACAACCTGACCTCTGTCTTCCTAACCATAGCTGTTGGTTCACTCTCAGACTTTCCAGTTTCAAATCTCACAGTGTGTTGAGCAAAAGTCTGCTTTGGTAGCATGTACTAAAAGCTGTCCAGTCATGCTCCCAAAGGGCTGCCCTCACTGTACCAGGAAGTGGCAATGTGCCATGACTCTGTCTAGGTGTCTGACAAAACACATGTTTACTGCATAATGCACTTTGAGCCTTGCATCTACACTTATTTATCTTGTGGGAGCAAACCTTCTGTGGTCTTCTCATCTGGTTACTTGTACTTTAAGCTCAGTGTACTTTGTCCCCATTTCTTGACTTTATATTGCAACTTTCATTTTCTGTTCAAAAATAATAGCACTGGTAGCAGAGGGAAGAGGTGTTTCCAGGGGTTTGTGTTCCTCTGTGGTTTCTGATTATTTCCAGCCTTGGTACTTTACTTCTCACTTAATCACTGCCTGACACCTCACCCAGAGCCCCTTCTAGAGAAGGAAAGATTCTTGCCGACTTCTCAGTGGACTCTTAGGTTGCTTCCCCTGCTGCTGCTCTAAGTTAGAGCAGAGTATTCTTTTGTCCTTCTGCCAGTGACTACACTGAAACTTGAAGGGAAAACTGCAAGCAGATTTTTTTAGGTTTTTTTTTGTTTTTTTGTTTTTTTTATAAAAAGAACTATTTATGGTTATTTGGCAACAAGGAATGGGTTGTAAAACATCAGTGTTACTTTGGGGATCATTAGAATTGTCATCCCATATTATAAAAATTATATCACACATTCATATTAATCAAAAGTACATCTGTACTCTGTGGGTGTCACCCTTTCACTAGCTTTTTGTCTTTCCCTACAAAGTAATAGAAGAAAACTTGTTGTCTCCTAATGACAGAGGGAAGAGAGGGAGGGAATGTCTTATGCAGCTATATTCTCTGTTCAAAAACTATCTCACTGATTCTCTCATCTTTGCACATCTGTCATTTCATCACTCTCTGTGCAGTTTTATTTCCTGATATAATGAACTGTGGGACCTGCAGGTGAGATGAGACAACAGCATGTAGGGCTCTGGTGGATGAGGAGTTTGCTAAAATCTACTCAGCCACATTTGGCCACTAGCTAGGAGGACACACAAACACAGGATCGGTTTCCTGCATCTGCTGGCACATTAGGCTTCCTTGCAGAAGTAGCAATTAATGTATTTGTAAAGTGTTTCTTACTCTGTCCAGTTACTCTTAATCAGGTCAAAACTAGGGGTGTCTGGACATAGCAGAATAACTGGTTTTAGTAAAAGTAGTAGGCTCAATACAAGGATTTAAAGACACGGGAACTTGATCCACAGTTTTGTAGTTCAGTCTTCATATTTGCAGTATTTCCAGATGCTGAGTTTGAAATAGACATTCTTCTCTTTTTTAAGATAATTATATGTAAACCACTTAGAAATTTTATGTTAGCTCCTTCCACCTAAAGAAAATAACAGTTCAGAAAATGAGAAAAACTTTTCACTTTTTTTTTTTTTCTTTTCCCCTCATTCTTGTGAGCAACACATTCAGGCCTGAAACCTGCAGATGGGCCAAAAACCCTACAGGTACCATAAGGATTGAGGTTTTCTAAAGTTAGCCTTTTGAAAAGTGTGGAAGAAAAATCCAAAAGTCTCCCAAAGACCCTTATTTGCCAAAGTCCCTGTAGCAATGGTGCAAGCAGGGGTGGTTTTTCCAGCATTAGTACTGGAACCAGATGAGTTTACCATGAATGCCAGCAATCTTTAGCTTTCTTCTGCTCCTTTCTCCCAGGCCACTAGTTAAATCTAAAATTAGAGAGCATTGTGGTGCCTCTCCAGCCTCTCTCGCTCCATCATAAAGGCTGGCCAAGGTACCCTGGCACTGCATTCATCCATGAGTAAAGAGCAGAGGGGTTGTGCCCAGTTTGCTGGCATCCTGCAGCTGCTACAGACCAGGCTTTGGCCCAGCAAAACATCTGAACACAGCCTTGTTTGAGGGGACCTCTGCCCCCCCCAGCCTGCTAAGAAGTCAGGAAAGTCCTCTCCAGCCAAATGGATTGCTAATAATTTGGTGCTTAAAGTGGTATGGCTTCCCTCAGAAGAGCAGGGGTGTATCACCACTTCTCACAGCTCTTGGCTGCTGGTTTTGGCACCCACTGAGGACGAGGGAGGGGAAGTTTGGGTCCGGGTCCTAGGAGGCAGGCTGAATTCAGGGCTTCCTCCATGGGATACATGCTGGTGTGGGCAGGAGGCAGCCAGTGGCCATGGTGTGTGGCACCCAGATCTCTCCCTCCACTGTGTCTTGGGTGTGCAGTGCACACTGGTGCCCGTGGGAGGCTTTGGAAGAGTAGTACCTTGGCTGGCTGCCCAGCACAGGAGAGGCCACCTGGGACACACACCTAGAGACCTTACAGTCTTGCCAACTTAAAATATAGGCAGTTGCTTTAAATGCCTCAAGGGTTTGGGGATCACAGCCTTAGAGTTCAGCACCTTAGTTCCTCTTTAAGCACCAGAGCAGGATGGGCCTCTGGGGAAAAATGTATCAGGGAATTTCTCTGCCTTTATTTCCTGTAATTAGTGGCCTCAAAAATGAGAGAACTACCACTTTAGAGAATAAATGTATTTACACACCCACATGTAACATCTACTTGCATCTGTAACAGCAAACTTTCAAATTAAAGGTAACTTCCCCAGCATTAGTTCATTTGTGCCGCAGAAGGAAAGCATCCAGATGCAAGACAGCAATTAGGCAGGTACTTAGTTGTGGGTTTAACCCTGTCCTCTGTGTTTTCCTGAATTGGGGCCTTTGACCCAGTCCTTCAGACGCTGGAGCACACACCTACCTTCACAGCCATGATTAGCTCCTTAGCTCCGAGTGGAGCTATGTAACTTCAAATGGATGTTGAAGTGCCTGCAAGGAGTTGCACAATAGTGGTAGAGGCAAGACTCCACATTATCCCAGTGCTGGAAACTCAAGTGTCATTCCCTTCCTGCCTGTTTTGAGGCCCCTGATGTTTTCTGTCAAAATTTGAGATGTCACCTTCAGATGGTGCCATTGTCCAGTAAGTAGTTTTAAGTATGGTGGCACAAGATTTTTGTATTCTGCTAAAAAGAATTTTTCAGTAATTTGCTAAATGTGCTTAACCTCATTCAACTGCTCCTTCAGATTGTCTTCTGGTCTGTGATACTTTATTTAGCAAACACTGAGGAAAATTGGTTTGGTGGTTCCAAAGGGTTTAGAATTTCATTCTTACCTTAACATGGGAGGATTATTTTGGGATGGAGGGGTGGAGAGTGTAGTAGTTAAAAAAAAAAACAAAAACCAAATAACAAAAGCCCAACAAAATCCAAACAATTGCATTGACTCAGGACATGACAATTTGATAATAATGTTCATATATTGCAATCATATGATGCAACTTCCTGCTGCTCATGTCATGTTTGTCTCCTCAGTCAAGTACAGGCAGGTGACATCTTTTGGTCAAGCTTCAGAAAAAAAGTTCAAGCTGGGGGAAGATAATTTGCATATTTACAAAATATTTCGCAATTTTTTTGTTTCATTAACAGGTTTAACGAGACATTATTTAAAATGTTTCCAGTTCTATGAAGATAGAGTTTTTAATGCTTTTTTTCTTAAATGTGATTTATTCTTCTCTTCTTCCTGCTGGCCCTGACATGCTGGCCGTTAGCTCAGTCCTGTCGCTCGCTTTCCCTTTTGTTTATGGGCAGTTTCACTTTCTGGTTTTTGAAGCTTTTCTGTTTGGGTTGAGAGGAAACATCTGCACTTGCTTAAAAAAATGCCTCCTGGAATGTTCAAAAGGGCTCAGGAAAATGATTTTTAAATGATATGAGAGGCTGTCTTCACAAAATCATAATTTGGGGGCTGAAGTTGTCTATATACTGAGAATTATTTGAAGGCTTTCAGAAAGATCTTCTCTGACCGAAAAGTTTTCAAAGGCACGTCACACTGCCATAGACACATTTAGAAAACAGATGATCAAATTATGTACTTCTAAATGTTGGTCTCTGTTCTCATTTTGAGTGGAAACAGTCTTTGTTTTGCCCGGTTCACAACTTCGAGGTTCTCTTCCTACTAGCAAAAGAGGTGCTTAATTTAGATCGAAAATGTGAATTGGCATAATTAAGCTCTACCACTCGAAGTGTTCAGTACCATCTCACTCCTGAAATTACTATTGAAATTACTGTCTGCTTACAACCGTTTTTCAAGTTTTTAGAAAAGAACAGATCATTGTTTTTATGAAATGTTTCTCAGGCTACAGCTCAGAGCACAAGAACTGAGAGCAAAGTCTGTAGCTCTGCAGCAGTCTGTAGCTGGAACACCCACACTGGAGTCACTTCAGGCAGCTCCTTCACTCAAGTTCCATTAATACTTAAAAGTAACAGGAGTTTTGTCCCTTTTCCTCTTGCATGCACTCACTAATCTCAGATCTGAGCAAATAATCTGTTGACCTCAGTTAGAAGTGGATCAGGCTCCTCAAGAGGCATGTCTGAGGTTTTTTTTCTTTCTTTCCCCCCACTCCCCTCAGATCAGTAACTTTAAAATGCAGCTGCACCATTCTTATTTTGTCATGAATCTCTTTTCTGTGTGTCTCTCTGACCACAGAAACTAGACAGATCTTGGAAGAGTATGTGCCTATATTTACTGTATATATATGTGTGTGTGTGTGTATGCATGGGGGGTGAGGGGGAGAAATGCATTTCAAGAGTGAATGGGAGACATTTTGATTGGTAAAAGCTTTAAGATTGCAATAAGAAATAACATCTCTTGAACTTTGAAGCATGGCTCCTTTAAGAGCAACAAGAAAGGTTGTAAACCTCTCAATCAGTTTCAGCCCTGGTTTAAATCCTCCTTCAGTATAAAACTTAAGAACCTCTCCTTGGCCCCGAACATTACCTTCTCTTATTTTACACAGTGCTGACACACTTGTTTATGTTTTGATCTCTTTGCTGTTCCCAAGTGTCCCTTGTGCTCAGGTAATAAGGGAAAAAGCTAAGAGGGGATTTATGGACCAAAGATAGCTTGCAAACTAAAGAAAGCTGTCACAGTTAGACTTGAAAAACAATCTTTAAACATCACAACTTCTGCCTACACATGGAAATTAGTAGGAGGGACAGCTTTACTGGGAAAATTCAATAGTGGAGAAAAGAGCAATTATCTTTAGTTAGTCAATAAGAGAGCATGGGATTGTTGCACAAAGAATGTTACGATCTCTGCATGAGCTTCCTTTCTGTCACTCCTGGGCTTGCTCCTGCACATAAGGCACGTACATCCCCACCCTCATGTTTAACCTTGTGACAGTGGGAGCTGTTTCTCCAGCTGAAGTGGCCCCAGTTTCTCTATCACTTTTCCAGCACCACCAGCATTTCTCCTTCCTCTTCCCCTCCCCCGGGTTTTTTTCTTTGAAAGAGAAAAGTGTCAATTTGAACTTCCTGCTTGACAGACCCCACTGAGAAACTGATATGGGCCTGATAAAGTGGTATTTATTTATTTTTCCTGCTGCAAGGCTTCACAAGTCCTGCCTCCCACCGCCTCTGTCCAGTTTTCAATACTGCCTGGTTTTGATACTTCCCAAGGCTGATAGTGTCACCAGGAATGTTTGCTCTGAGACACTGCTGTGGTGAAAGGCAGCAGATAAGAAGATCCAGATAGTATTATCTACGGTGTCATTGTGGAGCTTCTTGAACCTAGTAGGACCTCTATGCTATGCCCAAAAATCTGGTAGACATTTAGAAAATGAGTTACCAGTCCAGGAGTACAGACAAAATTACCAAAGAATGCAGATGTTTTTAAAGCCAGAAAATACATGTTATTACTTTATTTTTGATACAGCTCTGCATTAACCTTTGGACACCAAGAGAAATAATTTGGACCCTATCTGCTTATGTGTGCACATGCTTGCTGTACAACGCTTTTAAGTTTTGTCATAAATATTTTAATTGAATTAACTGTGTTCAATTGCATTTCATTGGAGCTTGAAAATACACAAACTCAAACTCAAAAATCTCAACCTAAATCTTAAACTAAATTTGCTTGTTACTAGTCTAATGCCATTTCAAAAAGGATACTACTGTAAAGTGGGTTGCTGTAAGTAGGAGCATGCTTTGAAAGCAGCTGTTTTCTTGGATAAGTTTAATAAATGGCTGCTTCTTTGCCTTATAGGGTAATGTTGCCAAATGATAGATTCCATCAGGGTAGTGAATAGTGAAGTGAAGCAAAGAATCCGTGTTGAATGCGGCGTGGTCATTGCCTGTTGTCACGTTCCTCACTTGGTTCAGATGATCCTCCAAAAATCAGAAATAACTGTTTCTCACCTCAGATAGTGAAGTAAGAGCAGTCAGTCACAGAAGCAGAAATGTTGCTAAAGGATTGCAGTGTTTTTGAGTCACGTACCTACTGGTATTGGCTTGTACCTCCTGATGGAAAGCCTTGCACTAACTAGCTATGGTTATAAACTAATTAAGATTCTTGTAGTTTCCCCCCTATAATAAAATATCTCAGAAGTAATCAAGATTATGTAACAAGGATAAAGGCAGATTTGTTTTTCTACTGAAGTCATCTTTCAGTGTGCTGTTAAGATTGTATTATGTCCAGAAAGCAAGGTCTTTGAATACAAATAGAGTATGTGCTGAACTGAGATGAATGTATGCTAGCTTCTATTTCCTTCTAAATACATATTTCTTTTCTCTTTTTTTTTAAAGCACATTTCAACTTAAGCTGGAGCCAACCAGTCTTGCTTTCTTTTGCTTTGCTTCAGCATTTTTTTTATAAAATACAGCTGTAAGCAGAGGAGTTTTGCATAGACTGAATGCCACAGAAATCTGCAGTAAATAGTCTGCTTTGTTGTAGATGTTCCTAAGCAGTATATTTAATGAGTAATGATCTGTTTACTGATGGAGAATACCTTCTCTTTGAAGAAGGCTTTCATCCTAGCCAGCCATGGTTTTTTTGGTACTGTAAGTAATTGAACTGGCTGGTGAAGTGACTGCTGCGGTTTGGCAAAACCCGATTTGTCATGCCTTGTTATTTTACTGAGGAACATTTCTGGGAGCTTGTGTTCTGCAGTCCTTCAGTTAAACCTGTACAGTGAACAAATGCTCGTTACCACATTTATTAGAAATACTGCTTAAAGAGACATTAAACAGCAAAGCTAGGCAGGTTTAAGGGGGAAGAAAGGTGAAATCAGTTTGCAGAATGGGGGCTGGTGCTCTGCAAATGCATCATCATCCAGACTTCTATGTACTGGCTGGTATCCCTTAAATTAACAATGCTTTTTATTAAGACTTAATACCAGAAGGCATTTCTTCACACAGCAATTAGTTTTCTGGCAAGTTGAATGATAGCTCATCTCTGAGAGTAGTCTTCCTTCCCACTAAACTTGTAGGGGTTAGATTCTGTTTTGAAAAGAGATAATGCCAGTGATATATCTAAATAATCATTATCTTGTCTTTGTGTTTCAGCACAAACCCACATTAATCCAAAGCAGCACAGCACTGATAAAGATGAGCTTTATCAGAAAAGCGTCCCAAAGAAGGAGCACAGTGTGAAAGAAATCCTGAAAATGGAATCCAATCCTCCTAAAGGAAAAGACTTCTTTCAGACCAACATTTCACCAGTTACTCCAGAAAAAGACTTGGATGATTTACATAAGAACTATAGCCCGGAGAGGTGTTTCTTCCCTCGAGTTGTCTACCCGATCCGACCTCACATTCCAGAAGACTATTTGAAAGCTTCCTTAGCATACGGCATGGACAGACCCAGCTACATTACTCACTCGCCCATCCAGGCATCTACTACACCAAGTCCTTCTGGGAGGAGTAGTCCAGACCAAAGTTTAAAAAGTTCAAGTCCTCACAGTAGTCCAGGGGTCACAGTTTCACCTCTGGCACCTACTTCCCAAGAGCACAGAGAGCCATACTCTTACTTGAACGGATCATATGGCTCAGAAGGATTGGGGTCTTATCCTGGATATGCACCCCCTGGCCACCTCTCACCTGCCTTTCTACCGTCCTATAACCCCCATTACCCAAAATTCCTGTTACCTCCATTCAATATGAGCTGTAATAACCTGAGCGCTTTGAACAATATCAACGGCATCAACAATTTCAATCTCTTCCCAAGGATGTACCCTCTTTATGGCAACCTGCTCAGCGGAGGTAGCCTTTCCCACCACATGCTCAACCCCACCACGCTCCCCAGCTCATTGCCCAGTGAAGGAGGCCGTCGACTGCTGCAGCCTGATCATCCGAGAGACTTCCTCATACCAGCACCCAACAGTGCCTTCTCTATCACGGGCGCTGCTGCCAGCATGAAGGACAAGCCATGCAGCCCTACCAGTGGGTCCCCCACCGCTGGTACAGCAGCCAGTTCGGAACACATAATGCAACCTAAACCTACCTCAGTGGTGTTGGCTGCCACCGGCGGTGAAGAAGCCATGAATCTCATTAAAAGTAAGAGGAATGTGACCGGTTACAAAACACTCCCATACCCACTGAAAAAGCAGAATGGGAAGATCAAGTACGAATGCAATGTTTGCTCCAAGACCTTTGGCCAGCTGTCCAATCTGAAGGTAGGCAGTGGAGAATAAGACAGGAGCCTTCTTTGAAGGCTCAGATTTCTCCCTGTAGGTTTTCAAGGAAAAGCAGGGTCAGGCCTCCCTCGCTTGTTAGGCTGTTTATGCGTCTGGGCTTAATACAGCATCCCCCAGCAAGAAAGTGTGGTTGTGTGTTTGAATAGTGACGCCACCTAATTAACTAGATAACATTGTATTTTGGCAATGGCACTCTTCCGCTGACTTTAGGAAACATCTGAAAGCACTTTTGTTGTAGTACTGGAAACTGCAAATTGTTAATTGCTTTGTCTCTCCCTAGGTGCACCTCCGAGTACACAGCGGAGAGAGACCATTTAAATGCCAGACTTGCAATAAGGGCTTCACACAGCTGGCTCACCTCCAGAAGCACTATCTGGTACACACGGGAGAAAAACCCCATGAGTGTCAGGTATGTAACACAGAGAGAGAGAGATACGATTCCTTCTGATGCTGAAGGGATGGCAGGGCTTTGCACACCCCATGCAGTGTGCAGGGAGGGCTGAGGGACAAACCCTTGACTGCTCATGGCCGGAATCTGCACCACAGCCAGGCCCAGCCCTGGTGCAGCAGCATCTGTGGGACAGCATGATTGCCTGCAGCCTGCTAGAGCAACATCTGCCTGATACAGCCACACTCAGGATGACATTCAGCAATATTTAAATAAAAAAGGTGGGGATTTTTTTCCCCTTGTGAGAAAGTGTGAAGATATAGAAAGCTGCTGCTTCATCCTGCCGTCTCCTCCTAGGTGTCTGTGATTTAAACCATAAAATCACCTCCCACTCATTCGCTGTTTCTCTGCCACCCCCCACATTAGGTTTGTCACAAGCGGTTCAGCAGCACCAGCAATCTCAAAACCCACCTGCGGCTCCACTCTGGAGAGAAGCCTTACCAGTGCAAGCTCTGCCCAGCCAAATTCACCCAGTTTGTGCACCTGAAGCTGCACAAGCGTCTCCACACCCGGGAACGCCCCCATAAATGCATCCACTGCCACAAGAGCTACATTCACCTCTGCAGCCTCCAGGTCCACCTGAAGGGCAACTGCCCCGTCGCCCCAGCTTCCGGCCTCTCCATGGAGGACCTGAACAGAATCAATGAGGAGATCGAGAAGTTCGACATCAGTGACAATGCTGACAAGCTGGAAGAAGTGGAGGACAATATCGACTTAACATCGATCGTGGAGAAGGATATACTGACCATGCTCAGGAGGGAAATGGAGGGAGCTAATCTGAAAGTCTCTCTACAGAGGAACCTGGGAAATGGGCTTATCTCCTCAGGATGCAACCTTTACGAGTCGTCAGATATGTCAGTTATGAAGTTGCCTCACGGTCACCCACTACCTCTGTTACCTGTAAAGGTCAAGCAAGAAACAATTGAACCAATGGACCCTTAAGACTTTTTGGCAAAGTGATTTTTTTTATTTATGACTTGGCAAGTCAGGGTGCCTGTAGCAGTTGCTTGTACATAGTTTCAATGCTGCAAAGCAATCTTGGCTTACAGTAGTTTCCCTACGCTCTCCAGCTGAAAGAAGGAACTCCAAAGTTACTGTTTTCTCAGGGCATAAAAAGGGGCAAAGGACTGTGCATTGCCTCGCCAGTTACTAAGAGACAATCATCTATCCATAATTATTTTTTCAATGATAGTACTTCATAATTTATTATGCAATTAATCATTCTAAAAGCAATAATTAGGAAAATGTTTACAATGACTGGAAAAATTCATTGTAATTTTTACTTTAAATGTTTTTATTTTTTGTTTTATGGCCATTCTTTGTAGATTTTTTTTCTGCACATCTGTTTTAAGAACCTAAGATTAGGGTTTCAGTAAATGTGTTTTATGTACCAATGTCTTTTAAACAAATGTGGTTTTTCGTATTGCCAAAGTTGGACATGTGACATACAGAATCCTAGATCTGTTGGTTTGACAAAAAATGCTGTGTACTTTCATGAGCAAATCACCCCACTGGGAATTGAAAAGGAAAAAAACAAAAACAAAACAAAAACAAACCAATAACCCAGAGTAGCAGCAAGCAGGGAAGAAACTTTTTCTCCTGCCTCTCTGAGGAGAGGAGAAAGATTCTTCTACCTGCAGCTCTCTGTGGAACAGATGTGGCACAGCACCAACCTGCCATGGACAATACCACATGTTTTTAGAACACAGCTCCAGCCCCACACATTGTCATGTAACTTTAAGACCAAAGGAATACATGAGCTTAAAGTGGCTTTTCCAAAATAAAATCTCACTTACAGTCTTTTGTTTCCACAAGCAGTTTAAAAGCAAAGACACAAATAATATTCTGCCTAAAAGGGGAGGGTTTGGGCAGATTTCTTTCTTCTGATTTTTGTTTTATTTTGGGGTTTTTTGGCCAGAGCCTTCTAGGGATAAAAAAAAAGAAAGATGGTCAGATTCCCTGAGAAAGAAGGGGTTCAGTTTTACTTGTATTTTTCTCTCCCACTTTGCCTGGGTAGAAGTGGGGAACAAAGTCCTTTCCTGGCACATAAATTTTTTTCGTCCTTTCTGTACGACTCAGATTTTTCTCAGTATTTGTGTTTGTACATTTTGTGGTTAATTTAATTAAAGAAGAAAAGGGCATTGCAAAGTTGTTGAACAACAATTACCTCAGTGCTTGTGTCCAGTGGTGCAGACAATGCTGTTTTACTTAAATGCTTTGCTACTTTAGAGAAGAAACCAAAATGTGCACAGGGAAAGATAGAATGCACGTCCTTTTATCTTTTTGTTTTGCTAAGCCCAAAGATGATATGGTGACGTTTGAGGTGTAGCAAAGAATACATGTATATTTATAGATATATTTATACCACTATACGATATATGTATATGTATATATATTTATACCACTTAAGTTGTGAGCCAAACCATGTAATAAAACCTATTTTTCATCTAAGTGTGAAAATCAAATGTTATCCCAGTTTTGCAAATAACCAATGACCTCAAAACCAGAAGGTTGTACCAAGGCATTTATCACTTGCAAGTACACACGCACAGCTGAAGGCGAAGGCAGAACTTGCCAACACGTGAATGGCTTCATCATGCATCCATGTGTAGCATCTCAGTGAATTTGGTGGGAATGACCCTGTTAGCAGGCCAGAGCTCCTTCAGTCCCCTGCTCTCCTGGCAGTCTGCACTGAGGGGGAAGGAGGCTGGTGGTCAGTCAACAGACAGCCAGAAAAGGTGATGACAAACATGACCTGTGCGTGATGTGTTCCCAAATCACAGTGAGGGCAGGATGGAAGTCAGGTGGGACAAGGCCCTTGTCTCATCGTGCCCTGCCACTAATGAGCTGCACAGTCAACTCACACGAACATAGTCAGCATTATTACACACCTCCCCTCCGTGTATCCTTTTTGTCTGGTTACGTTCTTAAAAAAAATTTTAAAAGTCCACCTCAACAATTCAGGATTCGGTGGTCTTTTTTTTTTCCCAGCAAGCTTCATTTTAATGCCTTCTGTTAAAAAACAAACAATCCTGAAATACAAGTCTCTCAACACAGCTTTTGAAGGACTCCAGTTCATTACATTTCCACTCCTGCAAATTGTGAGGCTGACATCTTTTAAATGTAGCAATAGTTCATAAATATAGTACTTAATTGTAGGATAAACCAAAGTATCACTACTCTGTCACTGGACACACACTTTTCCTATTATTGCCTGTAGTGCTTTCTTGTATTTGATACAAAAATTACAAGAATTTATATGCATCAGCTTTAAGAATTGTTACTTCTCTTTACTGTTTTCCCCTCCCCTTAGACGTTTTACATGTGAATGTAGCAACAATCAACAGTGTTTTTGGGGGTTTTTTTTGTCTCTCTTAAGAAAGACTCTGACCAAAGTTAACAGGCTTTTTACTTTGCTAGAACAAGAAACTATCATATGTTTACGTATTGGTTTACATCATTATTTATGTGCAAATTGTCAAATGTAAATTAAATATAAGTGTTCATTGCTTTACTGACGCTTCCCTTGTCTTCAATCTCTCCGCACCAGCTGGGTGCGCAGCCTGGTTGTGGCCCCAACGCTGGCACACCGAGGGCGATGGTGTCTTCAGCAGTGCTGACTCCTGCCTTTGTGGGTTCTGATTTCCCCTCATAGAAAGCTGCCAACAGCAATGCCAGAGCTGAATACCCTGGCTTCGTTTTGTAAAGAGGTTTCCTCAGTTTCAGCCAGTACCATTTAAAAAAAAAAAAAAAAAAAAAAAAAAGCCAAGAATTTTCAGTGTTTCAATGGAAATACTTGAATGCTGTCTGCCTCAGAGATATGTGACCAAGGTTCTCATTTACATTTTTCCAAATGATTGTCATTTCTGGCCTGAAACCCTAACCACCGGGACCACAATGACACACTCAAAATGTCAGTGTGAGACCACTTAGTCCTGTCTCAGCATGGTGGGAACTGCATTCAAAACAAACGTGGATCTGTTGTAAGTGCTCACAAAGGAGATGTGAACACTGCACTAAATCCAGGGGAAGGTCAAGTGTCCGCCCCTCCCTCCCCACCTCAGCCCAAAAGTAACAGCAGGCCAGGATGCCCCAGAAAGCTAATTCAACATTTGCTGCTTCCATCATTTACCGTGAGATCTAAACCAGAGAGGCCATGTGCTGCCCTGCCCTACCTGAATGTTAAAGAAATAATGTTCCTGCGCATATTGAGACACTCAGCACCGTATGATGTTTTAAAAGTATTTCACTGTCCTCTTAAAAAAATTCATTTAAACATCTGTCTCAAGAATTTGAAATACTGCCAACACCGAACTGTGGAGTTAAGAAAACCAGAGCACTGTTGTCATAAACGTGCCAAATGCAGCATGTTATATTCCTATATTCGACAGAGCTATTGCTGTAATAATTTTTTTAAAAAAACATAGGATAACCATTACCGCCATAAATCATACTTCATTACTTGGCAAAGCGTTACGTTGTGCTGGAGAGTTATGTCCTGGGGACACTTGTAAGCTTTAGAAGATGTTTAATAAAACACATTACATAAAAAGACAATGCACGTTATAGATCACAGCCTGGCGAGGCCGAGCGCAGCAGCTGCTGCCTCGGTTTCTGGCAGCCCCCAAGCCGTGAGCTCCGAGCAGCAATTCAGCGGGATTCAGCCACGGCAACACCCCCACCACCAGGTCAGATAACCACAACAGCGTTAGCAAGGGGCACGGGGGGGAAAGCTCATCAATCTGGGAGCTGCCACAAAAGACGGGCCTGCGAGCTGTGGGGCTGTGGGCGGGCAGGCCTGATGGCCAGGCCTGATGGCCGACTCGCTGCCGTCAGTGTGAAAATGTTGAGGGGCCGAACGTGTTGGGCAATGTGGCCTTGCCAGCTGAGCTGCTTCGCCACAGGACAGGGCAAATTACAGCTGAGATAAACTCAAGCACAGATTTAGGGAGGATCCTGCCCTTCTGGCTGGTTTATAAAGCCCAGTGCTCTCATCTGGGTACTGGGGAGGCACCGCTAATTCCCAGTGTGGGCAATTATGGCCTTGAGGTCGAAAATGAAAAATGTGACTCACTGAGGGGGTATGAGCCCTTTGGGGTTCAAATTGGTGTCTGCCACTGCACGGCCGCGTCTCAACACGTGCTGGGACCGCGTGGGATGCGGCCCAAAACCTTTGCTGTCATTCAGAGGTGTTACATTAGAGTGAGGGAAATAGTTGTGGCTGAAATTAAAGGTAGCCAGGAAACACTTGGCTAATTACTGCATGAGCCGGAGCTGAGTGGATGCGGTGCGGCTGAGGAATGTGACCGTCATGGGGCAGGTATCTGCAAAACACAGGCTGTCATGGTGGCTAAAGAAAAACTCACTGACAGCATCAAAGCAGCCGCCCTGGTGTTGAGAGGGAGATTTCCCTCCTCTGCACGGGCTTGGGGTAGGTTGGGCACAGGTTGACATTTTGGCAACTTGAGCACAGTCTTGCCTGAACAGCAGAAAAACAAGAGCTTTTGTCAAAGATGTGGCACTTCCCAAAATCATCTGTTTAATTGTCCATGAGGTGCTGAAACAGACCCCTCCTGTAACCAAAATGGGTGCCACCCTTCCCATTCTCAGGAGAAGCACATGGAAGAGCTGGCAAAGAGCACATTTGCACACCAGTTGAGGCCACCTTTGTACTAACTGCCATCTAAATGATGGAGTTTCCAACACACTGCATGACTCTGCTTTCACTCATTTTTAAGAGATTGGGGAACATTTCCCAGCAATTCACTGTGGCAGCCAAACGGGAGAGGGGCCACTAAGCCTCACCCAGACGCTGCTGCCCGAGTGCTGACTTCTGATTCAAAGTTGTATTCTTGTCCCATGATAGAGGGGTCAGGTGTCTGCTTGGAGGTATGTGCAAGCAGACATTGCCTTCTGCTTCAAAGCAAAAATATCCTTAGTCCCACCATGACAGCTTGCAGCTTGACACTGGTTCAGTGGTGCTCTGCACAGGAAAATCTGGCCCAGGTTTGCCTGAGATGATGCTTTCCACTTCCAGGCAGCACAGGCTCTGCTGGCTCAAGCTGTTCAGCTCTATCAACTTCAGCCTGCACAAGCTCACCTAAGAAAGGCCCCTAAGGCCCCCTAGGAAAGGCCCCTAAGACATCACCTCAGCACCCTTTTCTAGGGCAAGGCAATACATCTCCCTGTGCCAGCCAAAACCTGGAGCCTGACCATCCTGGCACTTCAGAGGCACCTGCAAGCCATCCCATCCAGCCACAAGCTACTTTCTGGAGCTGGGCATTACACAGACTGGCTGCCACCACAGGTTAAACAAGGGAGCAGAAGCCCAGTAGTGGGCAAGGATCTGCAGTGACTGGGTGGGTGGCACACATCCCCAAGAGCTGACCCTCCCTGCCAGAGACCCCTGCAGCTGGCAGGGGGGAACTCTGGCACAGGGCGTGCGTGAATTTCTGCCCCTTTTTGACACCAGAGCTTGGGGCAGAAACCCATGCCCAAAGCATGGGTACAGGCAGCACTGGTGTGTGCTCTGGGCAGAGAGCTCTAAAAAGAGATGCCTGGCCCTTCAGGAAAGAGAAATGGACACTCAGAGCTCTCTCTTCCCTGTGAGCTGTCAGCCAGGCACCTTGGTGACATTTGGGTGCTGTGGCCCTTCCTTCCTCCTCCCGGGCTGCACGCAGAGAGATGGTTGGGATGCCAAACCACTTAGGTAGGTGTGACCAAACACCCCTATTGAAGGGAGCAAAACCAGTATGACTTCCTTATTGTGCAATGATTAATAAAGGCTTTCAGCTCTTTTTCTCCATTAATTGTGAACAAGCAAGTCCTTGATCATTTCCTTATCCAAGGACTGAGTGAGATTCCTTACAGCATTCCTGCCCCAAAGTGGCCACACTGCACTGGGAAGAGAAGCGATTCCTGCAATATTGAAACCACACACAGCAAAATCAGAGGCTGAAAACCTCTTTTCCAGTTCACCTGTGCTGAGGACAGTTGTCACAATGTGATACCAGTCTTGGGGTTAGGGAGACACAATGCTCCTGCCCTTACCAGTTAAGTTTCACACACTAAATCCTAACTTAAATGAGCAGAACGGTGGTCAGCTTTTGGGCAGGAAGAAGTGTGGCAGACAGCATTTTGTATGTGATTTCTTGGATATTACAGTTCCCAGTCTCCTGGCAGCTTTCCTATGGCAAAATTTTCTGCATGAGAACTGTCCCTCTGTGAACCCCAGGAAACATTTTTTCCCCCACCTTCACCTTCTTAGTCTACCATGTGTATTCAGCTGACCTTTTGTTTTAAGGGACAGGTTCTGTATGTCTTTACAGAGCAGATCTGCTCTTCTTGTCCGTCTCAAAGCCCTTTGCAGAAATGAAATACTAAGAGGGGGAAGTTTGGTTTCTTCTAGCCATGCTGGAGCCATGTCCCTAGGTGGAGACCCAGTTAACCAGGCTGGGTGCTGTCCCGGAGAGGTCTCACTTTACTCGCACCCAGTCATGAAAAAAACAGAAGTTAAAAATGTTGTAGAAACTGCAACCAGGTGCTAAGGGGAGCAAGAATACATGAAAAGTGAAAATTTGCCTTTTTAATAAGCCGTTACAAGGAAGTTGGGTGTTTAGGAGGGAACATGCGCTGGTGCTTGTAGTCATTCAGTGAAGATTTGGTGTTGTGTGCATGTTTTTAATGAGACCAGAGGGTGCAGAACAGGGCTCCTTTTCTAACCTATATTGCAGCAATTTGTGCATGTCTGTAGCTGTGGGTGTTATGTGCTTTCTACTCTGAGTGGTAAGTTTCAGTTTGATTCTGCTCTTGAGAGCTGTGGGGACAGTTTGCACTCGCCTTATCTATGCAGAACCCAAATAGCTTCACAGTGCAGCCAGCCCCCTGACACTGCAAACTGAGAAAATATACTTTAAGCACAGAGAAACGAGAGAGGTGACAACCAGAGGGCATTTTCTCAGCAGAGCATCCCAATCTGCCAAAACCCTCACAACCCAATCAGTGGGGCAATAAACCACCTCGAGAGCCACAACCTCAGTGCCACCCTGAAAGGCCCTAGCCAGGACCCCAGCTAGCAGAGCCAGGATCCCAGGGCTGGAGCTTTTTTCCGACATGCCCTTTGTCCTAAAATCCTGCTTCAGCCCTGTTCCCTTGCACTGATGTCCCAGTACTGGGGGCCCAGCCTGGCAGCTACAAACTGAGCAGTTGCAGGATGTGCTTGCCCATCCCCTGGACCATCTTCCCTGGGCTGGCCCTGAGCAAGTCTGGCCACAAGCCCCAGACCAAAATTGTGCCCATGATTAGAGATGGCAGCAAGGGAAGGGCAGTGCAGGTATGTCCATGGCCCTTGGGAGGCAGCTCCAGTTTGTCTTCAAAGGCTTGTGGTCCCAACAGTGACCCCCATGCCCAGCTGCGCAGTCGATTGCCAAATGAGCATTGCTACCTTTACATGTGTTTGCTATTAACACCCAGCTTTTAGACTCCACACCAGCATCCATACTGGCTGTCCTGCTGACCCTACATGGGCTGTGACTGAGAGGAGCCATTCAGGAGGAGTTCAGCATAGCCCCCGGGGGATACCCCAGCTCCTATTGCCCACCTTGGGAGCCACATGCCACAAATCACTGGGAGACTTGTTCATAAAATACCTGAGTATTTCTAAGATGAAGATATGACCTAAATAGCAACCGCGTGTAGATTTCCTTTCTCCCTCAGATCTGCTTGAGTTTGTAATCCCCTCCAGATCCAATATTCATGAATGATGTGTTGTTTGCTGCACTGTCACTGGTCTTCCTTGACCTCAAAGAGCAGCCCAGGAGATGAGGTGGAACAGTGGCTGCAGGTGCAAGTGGTTCAAGATCTGCTGGGCACAGGCAACATGGCTCAGGCCCTACTGCGGTGTAGGGCAGGATTACCCTTATCCAAACAGACAGGCAGGCTCAGGAGCAGAGGGGACAAATCTTAATGGAGGCAGAGTGCCCTCCAGTTTCCCTCAAAATCTTAGCTACTCATCCAAAATTAGGAGATTGGAAAACAAGGGCCCTCCCTGACCATTAAACCTATTTCCTGAAGCAGCACACACCCCTGCAAAACGCTCTAAGTGCCTTGTTAGACTTGAACATGCTAAATCTCAGTTCTTTGCCACTGGTCTCTTGCCCATTTTCTCCCTCTGCCTCCATTAGACACAAGGAAATGCCTCAACCCCAAGCGAGTCTGATTTCAAAAATGTATCAAGAGGTGGATCCAGACACAGAGTTCAGTTACAGTTCTCATTTACCCCAGATTCAGGGTGTTTAAGTGTGGAACTACCAGTTGATGCCATTCTTACTACATTTTTTAAAAATTAAGTTTCAGTATAATTATTTGGATCAATCTAAACACTAAGGCAGTGATGAGTATCTACACAGGTAAATATATCCAAGATCAAGCTTATCTAACAATGGAGGTTTAATGACAAACTCCTTATTTTTAATCTGAAAACTTCAGTACTTCAAGGCCAGAGCTAGGCAATAAAGACAAGGACCCTGGAGCCAGATGTGCTCTGGTTTTGGTACCTCCACTTACTAGTAGTGAGGTCTGGAACAAGTCAGTTGACCTTCCCATACAGCACCCGACTCATTTGTAGAATAGGTACAAGACTTGTTCAGGCTGTGGTGTAGGACTAATATTTGTACCTTGTTTTGAGATCCTCTGATCTGTAACTGCATGTATTTTGTTGTTCATAGAGAGAACAAGTTGCTTATGGTACTATCTACAACATCATAATATTTAGAAATCCTCACGTATGGGCTATGACTACCCTGAACTCTACACAAACTCTCTCTGCCCGAAGGACCTTACAAACAAAGCACTATTAAAAAACCAAAAAACCACAGTGGCTAGGTGCACAGCTTAAATTTCCATTTTCTCTCAGCATTTTCCCACGAGGGGATTGCATGTGAGAGCACACAACAGAGAGTCAGATCACACCCGGATCGGTTGCGCTGGCATGCCATTTGGCAATACAAGAATGACATAAATTAAAGTGAAACCTCTTCACCTCAGCCTAAGTGAAAATGTGAAGAGCAAGGGGGCTGAGGAGGAAGGGGGTATATCGATCCATATCTACTCAACAGTCAAACCAGTGGTGTGGTGGCAACAAAAGACATGCCTTTGCTTTTCCAGTAACTAATAATCTATAGAGAACCATTTCCTTTTCTGCTGTTGAGATAACATATTCGCCAGCTCAGCTTCATGCAAATAATTCATGCCTCTGCTTACCTAATTTACCTCTCTGGTGCAGACAGAAGGGCAGAAACCTCCCACCAGCACTGACTGACATGCTGCACTGAAAAAAGAGCCATCTCACCCAGAACTTTCTGAAATGCTTAGATCATTAGAAGACAACTGCACCAAATGCTCTGCAGGAGAGACTTGGCTCCATAAGATTACATGGGTTAATTTTGCTGGTCTTCAGTCTTGCCTCTGACCCACATGTGGTTTGCAGGCTGGAACTGACATTATCCAAAGAAAAGCATTTGGTATCTCTGCACACAGACCACAGCTGGTCAACAACTCATCCCAGATTTAAACACAATGTATTAACTCTCATCTGTTGCCAGAAATTAATCTTACATGCTATTAAAAGCCTGGGCCCCCAGAACTGTGCTGAACTGAGTGGGCCTTTGCATGGCTTGGAAACAAACAGGTACCAGGTTGGACATTTGTCTGTATCTAATGGAAACCTTGTTCTAATCAAAATGCTGACACCACTTTCACTCATTCACATTCACTCACCTCTCTCCCTGCATTACTGCAGGGCAAGCAAGGTTCAAATGTCAAGCACCAAAAACATGTTATGAAGAGACAGAATTAATTAAGCTTGTCCACACATAGCTTCAGGAGCAGCCCTTGCTTGCAGGATCACACACTGGTTTTCCCACAGGACTTGTACCTTGCTCAGTGCAAAGGCAGGAAATGCTCATCCTGCATGAGACAGGGGAGGGATGCCATCCCTCTCACCCCATCTTCCTGTCCAGCTACATGGCTCTGGCCTTTCTGCTCCTGCCCCACCCTCCAGCTGGGGCCGTTTGTCCTGAGTGCTTTCAGTGGATCCATTGGAATGATGGCTGAAGGCTTCACCTGTGTCAGTCTGTGTCCATGTGGGAAAGGGAGGTGGTATCCCTAAGAAGGACTGAAAAAGAAACAAAATACAGGAGTTTAAAGTCAAAAACTCTTTTTGGGTGTCCAGAATTTCAGGGAAGTTTATCCCACATGCTATTTGACTTTAGCTTATCTTGACCTCAGGGGTCAGCTGGGAATCCTGAACACCTTCAAACCGAGCACAGACCAGGGATAGCTGTACTACGTGACCTGTGAAAACTCAGGTTGAGTGACTTGTTCCATGTAATGCACAGCTCCTTGGGTAACAGCCATGGAAAACATTACCCTTGGGCAGCACTCTGGTCTCAGACCACGACAGTCCTTCCATCTATCCCTCCTCTTTCAAGAGGACCCCTCCAAGGTGTGGGGTCTACACATGAGAGCCTCCTTTGGTTCCCAGCTCCAAAGGCCAAGGGCAAAGGTAATACACATCCTGTAAAGACCAACCACATCATTACACACGTCCATGAAGGACCAACTGAACCTTAATTCCAGCTTTTCTCATCCTCTGAGTGCCTGGGATTGCTGCCTCAGTGCTGTTCTCACCTGCTACCTGGGCAAACTCTGGCAAAATTTGTCCATTCTTGGCAGTCCCAAGGTATGGCTGCACAACACAGCAGGACTGGCACTTTCTATATATCAATCCAGCAGCCCTGCTAGCCATGGCACTGCTGCCAGGAGAGGTCTGTCACCCATGATGGAGACTGGCACAGGAGGATGGTGAACCTTCCACTCTTCCTCTCCACCTCTGTGACTTTTCTCATTCTCCCCAACCCTGTGCCCATCCCTGTCCTTTTGCCTTCTAGGTGAGCATCCCTGAGGCTCCTGGATCCCTGCCAGTGCTGCAACTTGGTGGCCACCAGCTTCTTCAGTCTTCCCAGAAGGAGAATTTCTGGTGAAGCAGTGAAGCACCACCTTTCTTTGGAAAAGAGGGTGCCTAATAAGTGAGAGGACCCACACAACTAAGGACAAGGGTGAGATAAGATACTAAGAGAGAGAAAAAGAAAAAAAAAAAAAGAACATCTTTTCAATCTGTAGATGCAAAATGAAACTATTTTGATAGATTCAGCTCTCCTACTTTGAAAGGTCCAGAGTTTCTTATCTTCAACTTGACTCTGAGACATGAAATTTCACCCATGACTTGACAGACTGTAACATCCACGATGCTGTCTGGCTCCTTGGAAGCCAAAACCTCCCCTTCAGTGTTTTGCTGGGTTGATATTACCAAATTACTCTTTTTTTATCTAGGGTTTTCCTTATTTTGACACATCTTCCTTTGCTAATACTTTTCCCTGCAGCTGAAAACCCAGTGATATGGAGCTGGTGCTCTGGACACTGACACTGACATCTCCATGACTGGATACAGGCAGTCAGGGAAGAAAATAACTGGGTCCATGTTAGCACAGTGTCCCTTTTACAAGTGATCACTCCCAGGTTTTTCGTGGATGCTGAGAAAATTGCTAAGCTGCTAATGTATGCAAGAGCCATTTGCCTTCAGCCTCTTCACAGAGATTCACCTGGCTCAGCAGAGGGCAGATCTGCCCGTTCACAGCCTCATTTCGGATGGTCTTCAACTACAACCCATGTAATGGACATTTAAATCAAGGCTGGCTTCTTCAGAAGGATTTTAAATGAAGAGACTTGTGTTTCATCCTGATTTTACAAAAGCTCAGCCATGTGCTTTCTTTCCCATAGTTGGCTCAAAGGTATAAAAATTCCATATACTGCCTTTGAAAAGATTCTAGTTTTGCTTCATTCTGTTTTAGCAAAATAGCAATCTAGCCAGAGGGATGAAGGAATTCATTTCGGACATTTGAAGGAATTCAGTTTGGACTGAACATCTTTCAAAAGGAAATGGTCTATCTCAAGGAAGTTACAGAAAGGAGTGGGTGACACTCATTAGCTTGTATCGTACAAGGAAACAACCAAGGATTAAAAATCTATTATCATGGGATTACCCTATGAATTTTCCTCCAAGCATTATGAAAGGTTTCTGTCTCCCTCTTGACAAATCATCTTCTACAATGTTGTCTAAGTACATAGTACCTCATCCACTCACTGTCACCATTGTTGTACCCTTTGATTCAGGGGAGATAAGATAAACCAAAAGGGAGGCAGCAGGTGATTGGTTGTACCACCTGTAAAATATTCATACCTGATGCATGGTTTTCTAGAGCTGATGCTCAGATACTTAGGATATGTTTCCTTCTTCTCCCTCATGAAAATGTTCCTGTATCGTCTTGGTCAGTTTTGGCACTGACACATATGTGTGCTCTGCCCTGTTTCAGAGATAACTAATGTACCTCTGGAATGATTTTTAAAAGCTAGGAATGGGGTAGAAAAAAACACAAAATCTATGCTTTGAAGAATTTCTGTCCTAGTATACATAGAAATTAAATTGTGCTTGTCTCCTCCCTCTGCTCTAAGGACAGAGGTAGCATTAGTAATACAGAGCATGTCACTCTTCAAGCTCTCTTGCAGCTTTTAAAACATAGAGAGCAAATGGCAAATTTACCTTTCATCTCCTTTTGAAACTTAAGTTAGGCCTTATTGGTAACAAGTGAAATTAAACTGGTTGTTGCTGTTTAACTTCTCCGTGCTGTTTCCTCACATGAATTAGTCATGACCAACTCCACTTGGCAACCGTCCTTACGAAAAACAGAACAGAGAGAAGGGTTAAGCACTCCCATACAATTTACCCAATAAATTTGTCATACCCCTCATATAGAGTTGTCCCTCCTGTTCTGCCTGTTCCCTAACATATCTGGCAGTTTGAACAATGTTGGCAATATTTGAGCAATTAGGCATTCCAAGTGGAAAGGTTAATACACCTTACCCTCAAATGCAGGGTGTGTTTTGTCTTGTGCCTTTAACCATCCTTGATGAGCATCGATTGCACAACAGCTGTGAAGTAGGAAGGTCTTTCAATTTCAGTAGGACCCAGCTTGCTTTGGTTTAGCAAAAGGCCAATAGTCCAGTGCAAGGATGGGATAAGCACACTTTGACTTCAGTGTTATTGAGGCAGGTCAGAAAGAGGGAACTTCACGGCAGATAGCGCTTTCCGAGTGTTAAATGCTTTGGTCATCCTGGCACGGCTGCAAAACCAGGTAAAGGAAACACAAAAGAAAACTCTCCAATGGAGCTTGGAAAAGGATTGTGAAGGAGGTGTGGGACTTGTGGTTTATTTCCTACTCTTTTGGTTGAGCAGCATTAGGACCTCAGCTTCTCTTTTGGCAAGTTCTCAGAAACAGCGGTCTGTGGTCCAAGCAGCGAGTTCTGGGCAAGAGTGGGCAGAGCTGGAGACATCCTGCAGCCTTGCACCAGCTGGGACCTGCAAAGACCGCAGTCAGCTGAGATAAAAGCACCTCCCAAGCCAGCCCAGCAGCCGCCATCCTCAGCCCAAGCCACCGCTGAAGCTGGAGAGCGACTGCGAATTGCAAACGAGAGCGCTGCAGAGGAGCTCCCCGGGTCAGCAGGAGGCCAGCAGCTGCTGGACCGGCTGCCACAGCCCTCCTCTGCCGGCAGCAGGGCACACCCAGCGGCCAGCCTGCCTGCCCTGCCCGGCAGGGATGCTGGGCTGTGTAGTCAGGACCTAACTTAAGAAAGAAAAAACAAACATGAGCAGCATGGAGAGATGTTATGCAGGTCACGGCGATGCTGCCCATCCGCCCTGAGCCTTCACAGGAGGTCTGGAGCACCGGTGGGCAAAGGAAGTCAGGTCTGGGATATTTACTTACCCCCTCTCACAAAACCTGACTGGGTCTGAGTGACCCAGCCTGTGCGAGGGTACTCCTCCACATACCTCACCAGGATCTCTTGTGCAGCAGCCCCGTGCTGGTAAAAACTGCTGAGAATTGGGCACCAGGCCTCTCTACTTGTGGCTGGTGGTATTTCCCTTGCTGGGGTGATGTTGATGTTCATAACGAAGCTTTGGCAGAGAAAGAGAGACATGTTGTAACCATTAGCAGACATTACATTTAGAATTTATCTGAGGAAAGGACAAAGGATAACTCAGCTTGATTAGCTTTGTGTACAGTTTGGGTCTACACTCTCCATTGTAGTATCACTCCCAGTCTTCACCATTTTCTTCCTCTGACCCAGAAAAACTTGATCATGAAAATAATGTTAGTTAGAAAATAATGGAACTGATAAGTCATTGCAGGCACATGTGTGTCTCATTATACATCAGTTTGGTTTCACTATATATTTTACACAATGTAACATAAATTTCACTACGCACCACAAGTATTTCAATATGTGATAGTCAGAAAGTGGCAGTTTACACTAAAAGTTTCAGTATGTGGTAGGATATTTCAAATACTATAAATTCTCCTTTTAAATTAAATGCATTGTGTAGGTTAGTAAGAAATGCAGTTGTTTTAGTTTACTCAATGTGGTTTTCTTTCAGAACAGTATTAGTACTGTATTGTTTGATTGCCATGTTTATTATATTAATACATATTAATGGATAGTTAAGTGAAAATTCATTAAATATACACCACACAGGACTCAGGCAGGAGTTCTGTTTCTTAGATCTTTTATGTCAGCTGAATTTATACCATATTAACAAACACACTGTATTTATAGAGATTATATTAATGAAAAGAATAAACTTCCTGTTATCAGCCTGTTTTTTTTTAAAATGAATTTTCTTTGAGCAAGTAAAATTTGAGGGATCTGAAAGCCCCTGAGAGGGTGAATTGTTAAAGCAACGGGCAGGCACATCCAGAGTTTGCACTGATTCACCATTTATTGCAGATAATCACCATTGCAGTCACAACCAGCAGCAGAGGAGTTGGCACTGCCAGTGCTGTGCTGCTGCTCACAGCTTTGATGGGTTGACCATGGAAGTATCGTGTCAATCAGGCCTTTTCCTAGCAAACCCCATCCCAGGTACTGAAAAAGGGTGTTCACCATGGCCCTGCTACACCAAAAACCTCTGTCACAGAGCTACCACATCATCACTTTTTCACCTGTGACATACTTCAGTGCAGGAGAGGACAGATTACCTCTGAGAGATACTTGCCATGAACCAAAAGCATATCAAAAATAATAACACAAGTTAATAAAGCCAAGGCACATCTGGCAGTGAGGACCATCTCCTGTACCCTCGGTCAAAGCTACAGTAACACTTCCAGGCTGGTGCAGCAAAGCAATTTGCCCACACCCTGTACTTAGCATCAGAAATGCAGAAAGAAGAAAAAAATTAGGCTAATTTTTGGTTGTGAATGCTCCCTCATTCTCACCTCCTGTAAACAGAAGCCATACCAAGAACAGCCCCATGCAGAGTTCTATGTTACTCAAAAAACAGTCCAAGGGAGAAGCACCAGTCAGTTTGCTCTGCTCTGCCCACTGCCCCTCAAGATAAAATCACATGGATAATTTCTAGAACTTTTCTCCTGACAAGGTCAAAATGCTAATGATCTGTACTGTAGTTCAGTGTTGAGCAGAAGCAGAGGCCTCGTCTGCCCTGTCTCACGCTGGGAACATGAGGTGACCCCGCACCGACGTGACTTTGGGCAAGCTACTTACAGAGTTACAGAGGCCTGGATTAATTAGAAACTGGGTCTTTTAACATAACTCCTTGCCCCACGGCAGACCCAGCAGACCTCATTGGCTCCCTGCCAAATAGTTCAAGCACCTCTTAACCAACAAAAAGGTAAAGAGCTTGGGTTGTAACCTGCTGGATTTCAGCCCGGCAGCTTCAAATCTCCTAACCCACAAGAGCGGCTTATCTATGTTTGGAGGTCAGAGACCTCAACAAAGCCCTGTTAACAGGTGCATGCTGGCACAAGCTCAAAAGTTTATGTCTCCAGATTGCAGCAATTCCTGGGTTCCTTACGAGTGTGGCAAAAAAGGCCACCAAAGTGGCCGGTGACACACTCGGGGCTGGCTGAGTCTGCTTCTGCTGATTCATTTGGCAAAACATGTCACCAAGAGTCCTTCCTTAGCTCACAGGAGCTGGAACTGAAAGCATCCAATGCAAGTATAAAGTTTGGCTACCTTACTCTTCTAAAATTTAAAACCACAGTTCTTGTCTGTAGTCTCTGACTACCATAAGAAACAAATTGAGCCCCAGACACACAAAGCTCATGAGCTGTGCCAGATGCTTCCCAGGGACCAGGCTGAAGGAAACACAAATGTTTCTGTCACATGTGAGGCATGTGGACAGTTCAGGTTTGCTGTAATCACTGCTTTCATCCTGGACAGGGGCTGGGTGCAATGGGAGCTGCCTTCCTGTGCCAAGCCCAAAGACCTGAGCTATGAGTTTCCTCATCTGCCTCCTCTGTGGCTGCTTAAGTTTAGCCCTGCTGTCTGGCTGAGGGTCTCTGTTTTGGACAGGGAAAAACCTGGGCTCACATCTCCCTTCAATAAGGTGTTTTGTATGAAATAAATGTAATGTTTTTAAGTGTGTGATTGTTTTGCAGTACAGCCAAGCCCAAGCTGTCCCTGTTCCTCTTTAAAAAATGGAGAAGCAACAGCAGTGCAAGCTTTCCCATATTCATTTGCTCCCGTGTTAGATCTGGGCTAAGATATACATAAAGCAATGTATTTATGCCCTAGATTCCACTGCTGATACTGCCAGCAAAAGCTAAATTACAGTGATTTTCCTGTAGTCAGGCTGCTAGTCCAACAAGTTTTGGAAGGAAGTAAATGTATTACACACATCCTCCAAGTCCCCTCCTAAGCACTGTCAGGCTGTAATTTTAGCTTACTCTTATTGCTTATCATGTATAATTGGTGTTGAGCCATCCTTTAGCCATCATGAAAGTTACATTATCAAAGCTGTTGCATTACTTTCACTAATTCATCTTGCCCAAAGCTTTTGGTATTTCTCAACTGACAAGGCAGAACAGCAACAGAAGCTGGTGAACCATATCCCAACTCATTGATCAAATCCAAACCTTTCCATTTCACACATTTCTATGTTTCACTTGCAGGCTAAACCACATGATTTCAGAGAAAGACATGGCCATGCAGCTTGCAGTATCCTCTGCTGAGATTTCAGAAACAGCTGGCATAGGCTTGAAGACTGCAGTTCCATGTGTACCAACAACACTTAATAAGGGACTTTTCCATCTTCACTGACTGAGGAGTAGGACCATTCGTAGTGTATAATTAAGCTGGTGAGTTTCTGTTGTTTTGAGTATGACCTACCTTTTTTTTCCTCTTTACTCAGCTCTGACTGCAGGTAATATCTGCTTATCAAAATCCTTCTGGTTTCTATCAATGCATCTCCATCTAAGCAAATCTGAGAGGGGAGATGCTCACAACAGTTCATATTCCTGGTATCTGAAATATCCCTGTGGAACATCTCTGCTTCATTCATGTTTCGTGGACATTTCTCTCTTTGAAGTCAACTTCTACAGGTTTTCACACAGAAAATTTTAATCAGTCTCATTTCCTCCAGCTGTAAGCAGCAAAACATTATCATCAGTATGCAAACTTGCAAAGTGACACCTTAAAGAAAAAAAATTTGATAAAAAATGTTGTCTTGGTATGATGTGAAAATTTTTCACATCAGCAGCTTCCTACACTCTTTCCTGTTGATTTTCATCAAATCAACATTTCTTTGTTTTAAAAATAGAACAAATATTGGTACTTCAACAACAGACTGCAACTAATATCATCCTGCTAATCTTTAGTGAAAAAAATGTTAGACCAAACCTTCTCATTTATTTCTGCATGTCCCTGCCTCTCCCTGGTGTTATCTTCGGGACAGAGGAAGCAGCTTTGCTTCATTTGTAAGACTGCTCGAGTTTTGGTGGGAAAAAGGCTTTTCCTCAATGTTCATACTACAGCTTTTATGACATGAGACATCAAAAAGCTGCAAAATTCAGCATCTGTTGAATTTTGTCTGTGTGGACATGGAGGCATTTCCCTGTTCCAGAACTGGGGTTTGCAGTGCTGCAAACCCACAGCCTCCCAGCTTTCATTTGCAAAATGCTCCTCAGATACAGATGAAAGCCAAGACAGAGGCTTGGGGGGGGGTACTTTTGTATCTCAAGCAAGATGGCCAAGCGAAAAGAAACAGCTTGTCCATATAAAGGGTGCTCTGAGGACTGCTCTGTGGCAGCACAACGCATTTTACCTTCTGGACAACTGCAAAGGATTACCAAATCACTTGTTTAATGCTGGATTTCTATACATAGAAACCTGCTGGTCCCCATGTCCTGTAAGCATAGGATAACACTGAGGATAACACAAATTTCATTCTACCACAGTAATGGGAAACAGCAGTCAAAACCAGGACAGCAGAGCACAGAAAGGTGTACTGGAATCAGTAGTTGTCCTCTGAAGCTGACATATCAAATCATATTTTATTTTTTAATTTTAAAATTTTAACATCCCATTATTTTCACAGAGCTGGGAGACCCAAAGAGCTGGAGAGGAACAGATCAAATCCAAACAACATTACATGCAGAAGCATCAGAGGATGCTGCAGTCCCAGACTGTGTTTAGGAAACTCAGGAGCTGGGGGAAGTTTCTGCTACATGGGAGTTGTACCTGAAATTTGGCACTGAGGGCTTTGGAAAGGATATTGCTTAAAAGGCACAAACCAATACTGGTATAAAGGAACCTCACAGGTCCCAACAAACCCCAAATTACCATAGCCCATGCAAAAATTGAGCATTAAAACTGAGACTACTCAAAATTCATTCTCAATAAGAGCAGTTCAGATCAGATTCACACCTTCTCTGGAAGCTGACACTTGGAATTTACATTTATCCCTCAATTGCTTCTGTGGAAATAGGAAAACCACCAAAATGAATCTCGGGAATCAATCCAGATCTTTGTAGCACTCCAACTAGGCATATCCTAAACCCTGGCTGGTGGGAGAGGGAAGCCACACTGTCTTTCTTGTTCAGTTAGCAATACCCCAGAGCACACTGAAAATAATTATTTCCATCTGCCACACACAACCTATAAACCTGAAAATGGTACTGCTACTAGAAATCTAATACACCAGTGAGCAACCAGAAGCAACCTACTGCTTTCATTTGTGATTAGCCACAAAGCTGTGGAGATGCCACAAGTGCAGTTCACTGTTAGCCTATGCTTGTTAGGGTGAATGTTTAGTGCAAGTCTCCAGACAGAGCAGTGTATCAAGCAACAGCTGGTAGAGGACAGAAGTATAGAAAATGCCCAACCACTGCAGAAATCACTTTTTTCCCTTTCAGTCTGCCTTTTAGAAGTATTAGACTAGTAAATTTTTCCTCTTCTTTTGAGAAAAAGCTGGTAATGAGCCAATTATCTATTTGAAGAAAGACAACCGCTTTGAGATTATGAAGTTCTTTGTGCAAACAGCCACTCTTTGTAATAAAAAGTAATTTCAGGATAAATGTGTAAGACTTCAGCAGGTACAAACATAAATTGAAGCACAGCAGTTGCCATAGTTCAGCCCCTAAAATCCTCAGGTACTTATATGATCACCATTTCTGAGATTATTGCCCATTATCAACCAGAGCAGAGATGTCACTCCATTGATGCATTTGTACAGAAATGCATCAATGCCTTTCATTCCTGCACATCTGACTCAAGCTGCTGCACCCATGCATCTGCACCACTGCAACCCTCCCTTTCTAACAAGAGCATGTGCTGGGTGGGGAAGAGAAGAAAGGATGAAAACACACCTTTTCTAACAGAAGAGTCTTAGGAGCACTTGTAAAAAGCAAAGTCCTCACATTTGCTAGAAATAATATTTTAGTTGATAAAGAATCTGCAGTTACTAAAGTCATCCTATGATTCCCCATGAATTGCTCAATAACTGGGAAGTGGACTGGCTAGAAGCAAACAGGCTAAGGAGCCACTCTCCCATTGTTAAAACAATTGGGATGTCTCAAGACCCTCAATTACAAACTAACTCTTGTGGTCTGATCTTGCTGAAATATTTTGGGTATTGTGTTTTTGCCAGTCCAAGGAATTCTTTCTTTTTTTTGACAAAAGAGGCAAAAGCAATAGATCTGAATGATGAATCCCCAAACAGTCACACCCCTAATCAGATTGAACAGGACCTTTGTCTCAGACTGCAATATTCATCCCTCTCTTTCTGATTTCCTGGGAGCTGTATTTGTCAGACACAGTACTCTTCAGAAGGGAAAGAAGGATCCAGAATCTAAAATATTAGGAATGCCACCTCCCACAAACCATACATACTAACCTCAACCTTATCAAAGCAGACAGGAAAAGCTGAGGGTGCTGCACCGTGTTGGTTCAAATTAAACAAGCCAAGCAAAAGATTTTTAAAATTTTATTTATGAGATGTGAAGAAGTTGCCTTCTACTCGCCAAACCATAGTGCTAAATACCAAAGACACTGTGAAAGGGGCGCCTCTATTATTCAAAAAATATTTGTATGCTTTTGGTGGATTAATTGCATTTAACATTTTGGTTAAACACACAAACAAGCACAGCTTTTTGTTGTTGCTTCAAATGAAGCCACAAAGAGAACAAAAGGCATCCAACTGAACCAATTTAGGTTTATAAGCATATTAATTTTAAGAGCACTATGTGTACACTTAAAATGAATTTAAAGCAGTCGACCTTTGCAGTACGATGCCCATTTTCACTGTATCCAAATTATCCATAAATCCAGATGCAAGTTGTCACAGACACTTCTTTGGAGAGCTTGCAAAGTTAAAAGTTAATGTTTCCTATTAATTAATAATTGTTTTCAGCTGTTTTGGCAAGTGATTAAAACAAAGTGTCTGCCTTTAATGTTACAGTATAAAAGTTTTCTTCCTCAGTGGCTTGAGTGCCAAGTGGGATTTGCCTCATTTGCAGGAAGGTGTCACACGTGATTGCTTGGGGCATTTGTAAGCAAACGAGGGGAGCAGCTATTGTACCTGCCAGCGAAGTGACTTCCATTCCACATCGGCCTGGTTCTGGCCAGGACAGGGTTAATTTTTGGAGGTTATTCTGTACCCCCTCGCGTCATTTTCCAGGACAGGGGAAGTGCTCCCTTCTGGACTAGTGTAGTGGTGGAGGGAGCAGCTGGGTGTTGTCAGGGGGTCTCCGTGTGAATCATTCACCTTTCTTGTGCCTTCTGTCGTTAATATTGCTGCTCCAACTGTTGTTTTTTTCGTGTCATTGCTGTTTCCAGTTCTCATCTCAGCCCATGATCTTTACCTTTTGTGCCTCTCTTTTTCCTCTCCAACCCGTGGCAGGGGAGGGGAAAGTGAACAAGCAGAGCACAGTTTGGAACGGCTTCAGTGGGAACACTAAAATGTGGAGTACCATTCCTGAACCATGACACACATTCATTAAGATTACCCACCAAGCAGTTTCAGAGGAACATCAGCTGAGATAAATAAAACAATGCTCCTCATGTTAATGGTGTACTGTGCCATGAAAGAGTTGTTCCATAAGAAAACCAGATGGGCTGTGCATCATTTACCAAACCCTGCCATCTTGCAAATTCAGGATCACACAGACTTGAACGTTTGCACTGTGAACCATGATAGCAACTGTCCCTTCTGAGGTCCAAGCCATCAGACAGGTATTACTGACAGACTTGTTCGACACATCAGCGGATGGTTCAGCACAACCCCAGTTCTGACCGACACCTGATCCACACCAGGATTAAACACGGCTCTGGGAAGGATCCTCTGCCGTAAGTAGCATTTTAGACAACATCTTTTATTCCCAAGCTTCTACCAATTCATTCCCCCAGTAAAACTGAAATGGCAGTTCTCCTGGAAGCTGAATTTCCACATCCCTGCAGAGGAAAGAGCAAATTCACAGCAGAGGCTGATAAGCTCTGCTTGCCAATTCTGAAGTACTGACATCAACACAAGCAGCAGTAAGACCCCCAGTTCTCTTCCCTATGTGAACCCCACACAACTTACTGAGAAACCTTTCATTTATGCTGCATCAAGAAGCTTGAGAAATTATTGAAAGTGCAGGATTTGAGTTTTCTCTCTTTCTGGTACATCATGGGAGGTTGCTCCTCCTAGCTCTAGCTTCTTCCTCTAGTTTGAAAAACTTTTAAGGTGTTCTTCAGTTGTTAAGGTAGTTTTTCAGAACAAACAGCAGGCTTTATCTCTACAAGGCAATAAATCCAGAAAAAACCTACAAACTTACTGAGCAGCAACAATATGGCTTGTGCTCAAAGAAATTGTTATTGTCAGAATTTAGAAGAACCAGACTCAGGTTTAGTTCAGTTATCCTGGGCAAGGAGATTTTTCCACCAGAACAACATCCTTACTACATGATCTGAATGGCAGAGGGACACTTCATCACTTCAGGTAAACAGTGACCCACCAAAACCCTCATCAGAGACAGCACAGGGAGGAGTGTTCTCTTTTTCCTGTGATCGTATGTGATACTGCAAAATAAACCTAAATATTTCTCAAGAAGTTTCCAGTCACACCATTTACACTTGATCTTATCTCACTCCACGGTGAAACTTCATAAAAATGTTAGTGTCTGATTTGTTTCAAACAATTAACATCAAGGCTAGCCAACAAAATGATCCCATGCCTAAGGTTACTTCAAATCCCTGAAGCCCTCTGACACAACAAAATCACTGAATATAAATCCTGCAGGTTAAGATGAACACTCAGTTTCATTGCTATCGGGTCAAGATGCACATTTGTGCTTAGAGAACATCTGGGAAATCCACAGAAATCATCCCTGGCCAGTGCCAGAGAAAGCACTCCACTGCTCCCAGAGACACTAGCGACCTGTTTACCCTGGGACAAGAGGAGGTAAAAAGTTCCCTGTCTTGGGGCAGCTCTGAAAAGCTTACGCCCTTGTTTATGATGTGGCAACTGCGGCCCTTGCCCATACATTAAGGTGTTAAGGATCTTCTCCTTTATTTATGGTACCCACATTCATTTCAGCATAGCACCCCACAACACATTAGGATCAAAGCAAAATACATAAATGTATTAGAGTTAATTTCAAGCATATATTATACTGAAGAAGAATTTTTATCCTATCCAGATCATAACTTGCAGCAAAGATTTTGTTGAAGCTACAAACTCTATGCCTTTTACTACTTCAGCATTTTCTAATGCTGAAGAATAAACTCCCTTTAAAATATAAGCAATGTTTTTTCCCCTGAATGCTCAAGTGTCCCGATACCATCAAATGGCATTTTGGAATGGGAGCTGCTGTGGCTTTGAGCACTGTTAATTGACACAAGCAAGGGCTGAGCCAGGCACAGGCAAGGGAGTTGTGCAACAGGCATCGTCTGTTCCCTCCACACGATCTCAGTGAGGTTTGCTTTTTGAAAGTATCCAGAAAGCTGATTACACAGAAACAGCAATAACAGCCTGAATGAAGGCTGGGGATACTTCCATTTACATTGGTGCCAGTTTTTAAAGATAATTTAATTTATACCTTGTATTATCTTGTTGGAAGCTTGTGTGGCTATGCCAGAACAAGTCCCTGTTAGAGGTGTGGCTCAGAAACTTGAAAGACCTAAATTTCTGAAACCCTCCCCAAAATGACACCTGAAGATCATTATCATGCTCAGTAGCTATAGTTTCAGAGAACTATTTTCCCTGGTACCTCCAAAAGACACTGATCCCAGTGTGATCTGTGGAGGCCAGAAGAGACACAATTCCTGCTGCACTTCCCTGAGGACACCAATTGCAGCAGAACCCTTGAACGCATTCAAGTATTAGTAAGAGAAAGAATAAAAAACAAGTAGTTCCTGTTATTGGCATATTAATTAAAAACACACTATATACATATTTCAAGGCAATTGTAAGCTGACCCATTAGGATTATTCCCTTACCACTGAAACAACTGAATGCACAACCAGAAGTAGGACATCACTAATTTCACTGAAAACTGACATTATGATTTCTTACTGAAGGACATTCCATTTGAGCAATAAATTAAGCTTTGCTTTTTTTATTGTTAGTTTTTTGGTTTGTTTTTTTTTTCCATTGCCATTATGGCTATTCTTCCAGTCATTTTCTCAACAGCCATCAAGTATAAATTTACATACAATAAGCCAAAACTAGATAATTTCCATAGGGGAACAGACCTCCCAAACTGGTGGAAAAGCTGCCTGGGTGGCTCAGCAAAACCATGCCTCAGCAGAAGTCCTCATGTATTTTCATACTGAAAGGTGTTGAGATGTGCAGTGCAGAAATGCTGATGATTACAACAGACTCATTACAAATATTGACATCTTGTTCTATAACTATACCCCATATAATGGAATTTTATTCTGACTGGAAAATGAAACAGAAAAGGCTTGTGACCAAAACTGGGCTTGGTATTTATCACCCACACTGAAAATGTATTCTGCTGTTCTATATGAAACATTCAGAACAGCATAAACTAAAACTTGAGAGACAGAAATAGTAATTTTCATGAAAGAAAGGTCCTCTAGTGACTCATCCATCCATCCCCGTGACTCAGTTTTCCAACATACAGTGTATTGGAACAGTGACCTGTGGCACCTGTGCAGGATGTTTTCTGCAGCAGGACCTCCCCAAACTGACTCCTCACATGAAGTAAGTCCAGGCCAAGGATCTGCTGCAGAGGAGGAAGCTCTGAAACAGCTCCTGTAAATAAAGGCCTTCTTCAGCAATGTTCTAAACCATCAAAGTTAAATAGACACTCAGTGCACTGCTCACTCCAGGCAACACCACAGGTGCCAGACACTCTGTCCTGCAGGTGAAAGCCATTGCACTGTATTCAAGGAAAGGATGGAAAGGAAAGCACCTGGTGGGAGCTGTAAGGCGATGAATGAATGAGAAACCTGTGTGAGATCAAGAATCTGGCTCTGTCATTTAACTCCCCACAAAGTATTTTCTCTCAAGCCCCACCTTCACTGTTTTTTAATTCCTCTCATTTCCCTCTCTCCTCTGCACCCTTCTCTCACTGCTTTCCTACAGGGCCACCCAGTTTGTGGTAAAAGCCAGCAGAAATGAACTCGTCCTGTGATGGTGAAGGAGGAGCTGTGTGAGAAGTGTCAGGGAGGGCCCCAGAGATGGGCATTTTAGCCACACACAAGGCACCGATGGTAGTCCTGCAAGGCAGAGACGGGAGCTGTGGAGCCAGGGGCAGGCACAGCCTCATCACTACTCAGCTGAGGTCAAGCATCAGCTAAATAAAGAGAAGCTGCAAATTAAAGAAGAATCTGCAAGGGCCAGGATTCATATGATAAAATGGTCACTGTGGAAATGGTGAAGAAACTTTATGACTTCCTGTATCATGCCACTATTTCAGGGCTTTAGACTCACCCCTGTGGCCTGATCCCCTCCTCCTGTTTGTCTTGTACAGATTCAGATAAACTTTAAAATGAAGGAAAACCAGCCTATTTTGCTAATTTTGAGCTGTGGAAAAAATCCAGTGAGGGTGTGTATACATATGACTGATGGAAATCAAACCTCTGAAGTGCAGATTATTTTAATTATAGTCAGAAAAGCATGTAAGGTGCAAGTTTCAGCCAGATAGTTTCCATTCTGATCTTTAATTTTGTAGTAATAAAAATACTTGAGCACCTCTGTCTAGCTGAAAGAATAACAAGTTGTCTGATTTGTTATGGCAGCTGGGACACTAAGTAACAATATACACAAGGAGAAATTATATACATATCTGTACAAAATAAGGCATCGCCAGCTCTCACTCGTGCACTCTCTCCACGTGTCTTTCCCTGTAAGGCAGCCACTGAAGGGAGAGGTTTAGTGAACAGTGCTATTGATTGTTTTTCCCCTACTACAGCCCGATTTTCTTTGAAAAGAACCAAGCTTCTAGAGGTTTCTAAGTGCTTGTGAACTTGCAAAACACACTTGACAAAAGTCTAGCAAGCAATCCTCCGAATTGCAACAGATGCAAGCAAACTACACCACAAATTGGATTTACCCTTTGCAACATGTTATACTCAGCTATGGTGAGAGCTCAGGGTATAATGACTATTAGTAGCTACATCACAGATTTGTTTCCACAACATACTCATTCTATTATTGACCTAGATTAGTGAAATTATGCAAGGATTAAGGCTTTGAACATCTTCAGTGGAAAGTGCTACTTTAAAATCAGACACATTTTGGCAGTTTCAATTGCAGTCAAGATCCTCCAGCCCTAAGATGGTGTTTGACTGCTTCTCTTTCTACCCGAGTGGTTTTTATACATATAAATGCTACTAAAACCACACCTATAAACTCCATGTAATGCTAGTTATTTTATACATATAAAACCTTGACATACTCCAAACTCTTAATGTAGCTGTTGCATAGCTGGTTTGTATTCCTTTGTGTTCTTCAATCTGTTGTTCAGAGAAACTGGTGTTTCGTTTCACGGTTAAGAGAACTTAATCACTTGAATCGTGGAGACAGGAAAGGTAAGGGAAGTAGAGAAAACATCTCTCACATTTTAAACTCATCTTCCACAAGCTAATTTAACAGTATAACCTGAAAGCACAGAAATCTGAAATCTAGTTCTGAATGTCTTTTTACCTCTCTCTCAAGAGATATTACTCAGATTTACTGTGACATTTCAAAATGTCACCAAGCCTATCTCAAAACCAGATATTTTAACACAGAATAGATACCTACCTGCTTTAATTCAGAACCCATTCTATATGTGGTGATATTCAAAGAACTTCTTCTCAGAAGTTCCTACTTACTAAGTATTAATTAAATACTCTTCTCATCCAATGACAAAAATCCTTATTTATCTGGAAATAAAGACAGACTCAAACTTTGTTTTATTTTTTAATAAAGTTTAAATAGTTAAAGTAAGAGGAAAGAGTATGTTTTAAAGCCAAGCTATTTCTTTGTTCCATGCTAGGCCTTAAAGTCAGATTTACCGCCAAACATGGGCCATGAGAAGAGCTGTATACTTAAAATGCTGGTGTAGAATATATTAAAATAGCCAGTGACCCACTCCAGATTACCTTAAAACACAGGAAACACAATCTTCTACAGTTTTTGAAATGTATTGCCTCTTATCCTGATTAATGGAAAAATTATCCCTACAAAAGTTTGGGGTCTTTTTAAATATGAAGACTCTACAAAATATTTGCTTTCTCCATTGGGAGGACTTTGAAAATCTCCAAAATATTTAGATATGTGTGCCTAAGGAAGTTTATAAATGCCAATCCAACACTGTAACAAAAATTCCAAACAGAACTGGGAATTAGAATGACTGAACTAAATCATCCCACCATAAGAATATTATATTTCAATTCTGCATAAACACAGACCAGCATGGTTTGTTTTGTTTTAAAAATTCTTCACGTCCTGCAAAATACAGCATAGGTTTGTTTCATTAGTACCTTTACCCTTCCATTTCCTTAATGCTATTTCCTCATTAACGTTTTAAACAGTATCTAATCTGTCTACCGTCGTTTTCTGCCCTCAGGGCTCTTCTTCGCCTCAACCCTATCCTCACCCATGGAGATCCTTCCTCCCTCTGGCTTCAGAAAGAGGTTTTTGTTCATTTGATTGATTTTCATTTTCTTCTTTTTCAGATACAGGTAAGTATCCTACCATAAAGGGAGCATGGAAACCAATGGGAACAGCACTGGGAATTACCAAGACATTTACAAGTCAAGACTGTGAGTAGGAGCTTCGACAGCCACTATTTTTGAAAGAAAAATGTCATGCTTTCTTTATACTGGATAATATTTGACAGATTGGATAATATGTCTACTATAAACATAGTTTTGTGCCACGAACAGCCACAAACTGCAGACAATGCAATAGAGCACAGAGTTTGATAAATTTAGCGTAACACAAAAAAAAAAATTGGTAGAGTTTGAGTAGCATCTGCAATGGTAACAAACATTTAGAAACCAAAATGATCCAAATAACCTAAAAATACATCTGCTACACTAAGAAAAAATCTGTGCAATGAGATGAGAAGCTTCCAAATTGTGGACTGACTGCTCAGGGACCACAAATATAAGAACGTATTAGCTTGGAAAAGCCTCAGCTTTCCAAAACTCAAAACCATTAAAAAGCAATCTGTTCATCATTCTATGATTTAACTGTTTCCTAGTCTATGGGAATAAACAGCAGGATACAATCCTGTTTGCAACATCCATGTAACTTTTTTTTTTTTTTTAAAAAAAACTTTTTAAAGTAAATTAAGAAAATATATTCTTAAAGAAAAAAATTTAGATGAGCACAAAGAAATGCCATGATGACTCCTGAGACAAATTATCCTACATCGTTGCTAGTCTATGAAAACTGGTTTGAATAATAAACACACTGGAGTATTCAGTGACAGCATACAAAAGTATTTGTAATTATTAAGTTGTGCATGTTTTTAACTGACAAAACATGCTCACGGGCTTACTCTAAAATCTCTCACTGCTTGTTATCAAAGTTAAAAGATCATTTGCATACCAATACATATACTGTAAACATGAACTTCTCATTAAGGAAAGATGGATTTACAGTAATTTGATCTTTTACAAAAAGCTATTGGTAACCAAATCTCTCAGTGTCTAACTTTCTAGAAAATTAAACCAATGTTTCCACCCTCAAAGCTGAAACACTACCTCTTTAGGAAACAGCCCTGTTTATTTGTTAATCAGAAATACAATCAAGTGGCATATTTCCATTTGCTCTTCGGCTGACAGTTTCAGTTTAATTATATTTTACAAGAAAACAGCAGACTTGCAGAAGTCCTGTGAATTCTTTCATATCGCAACTGATTTAATTACAGCGGTGAACAAACGCAGCAGTGATGCAAAATAAGATCAGCCCAATTGCCCTTATCTGATGATAGGATCTCTCTTCCTGTTTGGCTTACAGCAGTGAGGACTTCTTGTTTTGTTTCGGCTTTTTGTTGGTTTCTTTTTTTCTGGTCAGGCTGCCTCTGTCAAGACTGACAGAAGCAAGAAGTTGACATGCCCTTAGAATTCCAGCTCGAGAATGATCCTCATACGAATATAGCTGACTTTCAATCAGTAGGTCGGGGAATGATACTAATGTGGAGAAAATTATCTGGATAGCTCATATGTTCGCTTAGCCACTGAATGGGTGTTTCCAGCATTGGCTCAATTCCATGAATCATCACTTGAGTCTTCTGCTCTCCATCTAATTCAAAGAAAAAGAGAAACCACTAGTATACCATTCAAAGTTCACAGAAAGATTAAACATTTACTCATACTTCATTTACGGTAGATTTAATTGGTGTTACAGAGTTTAACATTTAACAGAATGAAAAGTAGGAAATATCAGTGTGGAGAAAGCTGAGATTTGTATCATCTAAAACAGAAACTTTGACTTAAAATTAATTCAAAGAAAAAACTGGAATTGAGTGAAACTTAATGAAAGTGCCACTCTTCTTTATTAGTTGCAAGAGGGTTGTTTTTAATCCTACCATGATCCCAGCTTGTTGTCAACCTAGTTAAGGCACATCCATCTCACCCAGCTGTAAGGCATATGAATTTTACATAGATCATGCTTAAAATGTTGAGCTTCCTAAAACATACTGGTAAGTTATATTCTTAATACTGTGATCCCCTGAAAGAGCTGGCCTATGTCTAATATAGTACATGTGTTATTCCTGAAGTAATTTTGTTTTGCTAAGAATAATCTACATAAATCACAAGCAATATTTCTGAAGTACTCCGAAGGCAGAGTTGGCACTGGCTTTTTCTCACTTAGTTTCATCTCTTGGAAAAGCTAAGTTAGGCAAATGATTCCCAGTATAACAAGAGTATTTTCTAAGAATATTTCAATTCTTTTTATTTATACTTGTCCCGGAGGATGCAAGTACTTTGATCCTTTGATTCAAATGATGGGAACCAGCTAAAGCAACTGACATAACGGTCATGACATGAACTTAAACAACAAAAAATGAAAATTTATTTCAGAGACAAGGGATGAGAAGAGCATATGAAATATGCTTCAAATAATGGTTAAGGGGGAAAAAGTAGGCAGTGACCTTTCATTTTATTCTATTTCATTATTATTTCATTCATTTTATTCTATACCATGGCATTCTCACATGGACCTACCACAGTGAAATCCACATTCAGTACTCAAAAGTATTACTGCATTCACTAACTGGGATTTTATGTCCCCCCTCCAGTGTCTTTATTATAGAACAAACCACCATGCTCACCAAGTGCTGCATGGAAGAGAGCAAAATCTAGAAGTGTAGGTACCATTACTGGTTCTTTTATTCAGCTGCCCCAGCTGTAGTGTGATTTCTATTTTATAACATGGATAAAATCATATTTGTTTGGTAGCCAAAATGATTTGACAACTGCCTGAAGAAGTTCGTAGGATAACCAGCTATCTGTGCCCACACAGCTAAATTATGCTGGTAAAAAAATCATCCTTAAACGTGTAGTTGACATTATGCTAGTAATAATTCTTCCTGCAAGAGCAGACAGTTATTAAAATAAAGCATTATAACTTTTATTATTTTTTGCCTACATATGGTATATTCTCTACAAAGTCTTGATTCTCTAAATGGCATAATACACACATTATCACACTAAATTAAGCATAAACACTTGCTGGTTTCTGGTTTTATTGCAGACCAGTCTGAAGAACAAAGCATATAATTTAAAAACCAACTTCCGGTATTTCTAGCCGGAACAGGTATTTATTTGGCTGAAACACTACCAGTTAGATTGTCAAAAGAATAAACTCCAGAAGAAAAGATCTCAAGAAACACAGTTGTGGTGGTGCATTCATTCATTTACAACACCAGTTTTCTTTCTTCTTAGAAGTTAGGGAACATCTAAATATTTTTAAATAACCTCCAAATGTATGTATTTAACACTTCAAAATTAAAACCTACCTATGGTATTCCTTAAATTGGTGTTAGTGACCTTTTTTTAATGTTTCATAGTAGTATTTAATTTTCAGAAACAACTAATTTGCATAAAACCAGATAGCAGAATGCATTGGACTCTTTTTAGCCCAAACTTACAAAAAATAAGATGAAAAGCTTTAGAACCCCCAGCATCATTTTCTTGCCATTGGAGGAAAGTCTTATAAATGATAAACATTTTGTTTGGCTCTTCCATTACTGTGCAACATAGTATTTCTGGATGCGTGTGCATGTGCCTACTCTTGCTTAAAAGTGAAGTGCAGGTAATCTCCGTGCGTTCCTTGTTCCTTACCCAGCTTTGTCCCTTTCTCATACAAGTCTTTTATTCTGTTCCTTGGCAAACTAAGAAAGCCTCAGAGGTCAATGAAGAATTTACAGTTTAATTAAAATCTAAATCTCTGCATTAGCATTGTTTGTGCTTTAGTATTATCTCTGACAAAGCATCACTTCTCCTTAATTCCTCTTCCCCTTGAGGCTTGACTGAAGAGATCTTATCTCCCAATTCTGTATTTACTGCAGCCTTTTTTCACAAAATCCAATGTTTTTACTTCAACATTCTTCTCCTCTTTTGTTACTAAGAACCATAAACTCTCATTTAAGGCACATTTACCAAAACTTTCCTCAACTTTCATGTTTTCCATCACACATCCGATTATAAATCACAGTCTCTCTCATACAGACTCTACTTTTTGTAGCAAAAAGTTGTCAACAGTAAATACACTAAAAATATTACTGAAGGGTATTCTTGTTTTGTCAAGAGCTAATTCTTATCAATTTCCACTGTGATCTAAGTCCTGAATGATTTGCTAGCTATCATGAAAACTTCATGCACCTGTTTTAGAGATACAAAAGATGAACAGATTTACAAAGTATTTTTCTTTCCATGATTTTAGATGCATCTTGAGACACCAACTGCTGTCCTCTTCTTCCCCACCCCACATTCTATGATCACAAGAAGCCTTTTTAAACTGACAAAATGCATCTACAAAGGGTACAAGCTGCTAAACAACATATATTTAAATTCTAAAATTTGAACGACCTAATTTCAAAGATTAATGCCATTCTATGTCATTAGGTAATGCCTGTGAAAATTAGGGCAAATAACTCTGCTCATCTGCAGTGCACAGGGTCCAGACCTGATGATATTGTTACTGTCAATACCCATTCTACAATGTTCAGTAATGTAGTGAAAAAAAACCCCAGGATTTCCTCAAAACCACTAAGTTTAAATTTTCCAATAACCTCACCAACTTTTTTTGTCTTCTTAAAATCCTGTCAGAACTGAGTTTTATGCTACTTATCACATGACCTATCATTTTATCATTTTCTTTTTTTTTTTCTTTGCTGTAAATTACTCTTGGGAGCAAGATGAAGTAGGAATACAAGAAAAATAAAAGCATAAAAATATATGTTTTGTAAGTTTTCATAGCACTAATTAAAATCAGAGTATTTCAATATTACTGAAGTGATGCACAATAACAAACACTGTTTTGGCACTTGCAAAAAAAACAAAAACAAAAAACCCCTGAAAACTAATTAAGTCATCTATCAGAGTGGTTATCCCAATATTAAATTTTTTTCTTTCCACTTTCCTTCTGGAGCTGTATCAACAGAGAAGGTACTATAGCCCACTCAAGTTACTTAGAGGCAAGCTGTAAGCACAGATGATAAAGCTTTTTGGTAAAACTTAACAATATTCCATCTCCAGAAGGCAGATAACTATGCTTACATGTTACGTACTAAGACATATTTGAGACATTCAGCTCACTTAGATGTTAACTCAAGGCTGCTCACTTCAAGTGTTGACCAGAGCCAGGCTAATTAATCACATCATGTAAAGTCAGAAAAGCTTTCCAGCTCTGTACAGAAAATTGAGAGAAACAAGAACATCTGAAGTGAAGGGCTTAAGAAGAAATCTGCTTTTCTGACACCTATAAGGTGGCTCCATGTTCCTGATGAGGAAACCTCTACAAGAAAATATTGACAAAGGACTCTGTTTTGCAGATAGGCATCTGCTGGAAGGAAGCAAGAGAGAGTGACCTGTGGCATCTCAAGTGAGTCCTTGAGAGAGTGGCTCAAAGCCCTCAAACCGAGGCAGCTCAGGTCCACTCTCTCTTCTTTAAGGAGAAAGCCCTAACTACAATATTCACTGTTGCTAATCCCCAGTGTCCTTTAAAAAACCCATCAATATCCAGGAATCAGTGAGACACAGCAGAAGAACAAACAAGAATATCTGCAGACTTCAGAGATGGTGGGAAGATGTGCAATGTCATGGTATCACACAGTAAGTTCTTCTCTTTCCTCCAGCTATATAAGTTCCTGCTTGTAAAGTAAACGACTCGGTATTAGGAAAATCAGCTTATTCAGCATCAATTCAGATGGTTGCACATAACCATTGATGCATCTAAATAATTTTTTTCTACTGAGTGACATTTTTTTAAAAAAGAAAGAACTGAAGATGGATAAAATATTGGTTTTGTTTAGAGACAGACTCAAGTGCCTGAGAGCAGAATAGTGAGAAGGCACTGCCTCTGTCACAGGTACTTACTTCAGCCAGGTTTTTACTCAGATTAGCACCTCAATGCTCAGCAGTGCTGCCGTGAAATACCCTTTCACCTACACAAGATCAGCTCCTCTAGCCAAACTACATCTGTGATGTACCACTTAAAATTCTTTAGTGGGATGAAATACCTCCCTTCTGATTTGTGGCCTCAAGCAATCACCTGTCAGGGCAATTTAGCAGGCTTAAATCCCTTAACCTATAGACAATACAAGATATTCAGGCTTTAGCAAAAGTGCCCCTGGA